TATTAATAACTGGGGCATGAAACAATTCCTTAGGGAGTGGAATTTATCCCCCGGATACCGGCAATCGAAAGAGTTTGTTAAGGCGATCAAACCAGCAGAATCGAAACAGCTATTCTCTATCTCAAGGAAGGGAATTAGGAGGCTGATAGGTATTCTGACGGGCCACTGCCCACTGAGAAGACACATAATGGTTATTCCACCAGATCCCTTTTGCCGTTTTTGCGAAATAAAAGAAGAAACGGCAAGGCACTACCTCGCAGAGTGTGATAGGTATGCTAGATCTAGATTTGAAATCTTTGATGGAGAGGACATCACCAAATCACTCCCCGAGATTAAATGGTCCAAAATCTTGGGGTTTGTGAACAGGTCCAAGAGGTTTATGCAGGACACGTGAGCCGACCAAGTTCCGGACCTTTTAGGGATGGGGAACGAGTCTACCCAGGCATTATTAGATAGATAGATAGATAGATAGAAAATTGTGAAAATCTGTAACAGTATATATACTCAAAGACAATACAAACGGACACTCGTATTTTGTTATTTCAATCTATATGTGTTTTTATCGTCATATTAATTACGTCACAGTCAAAGAGCCGGATTGCTGAGGACAAAAATACAACCACGCATGACTCCAAGTTTTAGCTTCCGCTCCTCCTACAGACCTGATTGTGCAGAAGAATAGGCATAGCTATGAGAAAAAGAGATTAAAGACTATCAGCGTCGAAGGCCTGGAGAGCCATGAAATGGATTGGCAGACCAGATGTTCTTCGGAGAAAAGGAAACGGTTTCTTGTCAAATGGGTAGAGGAAAATGGCAAGAAATGTGGAACAATATCGTTAAATGCAGGCTGACCTTACAATACTTCCAATCGGTTTGAGACCGAACCCAAGCAAAACGGATCCTCTCCGGACTGGACCAGCCAAACTATGACAGGGCACGGCAACTTTGTCGGCTACTTATCAGTTCAAAAGAATGGACAGCCTCCTGTGTAGGAAGTGCGGAGACCAAGAGGTCGTCGAGCACAAGATCTTTTTGTGCAATAAGTTTCATTGAGAGAGCGAGACATACTCAAAAAAGAGCACTCGAGTAGCAGGCCACCCATGCTCAAAGACAAGACGCAGTTTTACCAGGAGCTTTAAAACTTTTTCTGTGAGAGATATTTTATTTATTTTATTAGGTTTAGAGTAAATTGAGATCATTCGTTCGGAAATTTTATCTCGGGCAGGTTTCTTCTTGACTTAATTAGACAATGTATAAATTTTAATATATACCTGTAAATATTTTAAAAGCCTTTCCGAATAGTGGTATAAAAGAGGAAACTAGCAAAAGGAGGTCCTTTTAAGTAGAACAAATATGTTTAAAGATATACAATCTCCCTTACTTTCTTCCTTAGGCCTCCCTTTATAGGCGAGACCAAATGAAAGCTTGTAAGAAATAAAACCCACCCTAAAAATTGCATTTTCAGGCAAATAGCCATTTATTTCGTCGGTATAGGGTCTCCCTTAGGCACAGCCGGGTGGAGGATGGACACATAAACATACTTATTTGAATGTAAACCAAATTAAGCGAGATCATAAATGTATGAGTTTTAATAAAAATTATTTAATTATGATGGTTTGAAAGAAAATTCATCAAAACCCGGAAATTCATTTAGTAATATATAAAAATTTAACGAAGGGGCGTAGGTGGCCTCAACGATAGTCGTTGGCACGGCGCTCATCACTGTAAGGCAAAGGTCCCGGGTTCGAATCCAGCGGCTCTCCATTCGAATACGACATGCTTACAGATGGACGTGGTTTTTTTTTCAAAAACAACACCACGAGGATTGACATGACCTGTGCTGTTGCAAACCCAACAATTTTTTTTTTTTAAATACAATGTATAATCGTTTCAATTTTAGTTGAATTTGTTTTTGACTTGTTTTCTAAACATATTTAATTGTAGATGAAAACGATTTCAGTATAAACGTAAAATTTGGATAATTGAATATATACTAAAATACAGCATTGCAAGATTTCCTCCGAAGTCTGAGGGATCAATATGAAACTATAAGATCATTTTTACTCTGTAGTAATGTTTTTTTTAAATATTTTTTATTGTTATGCTCTCTATCGCGAATTATAGAAAACTAATCATTTAAAAAAAAAGGTTATAACAAAAAAATTGAACAAAGCTTTTTGTTAATTTTGTTTTTAATTTGTGAAGCAAGTTTCGTTATCGACAACCGACGGAATCGGCTTACCAAAACACTTTTTTTTTGTAAGTAGGCAGACATATTTTATCATGTAAACGAACATTGAAAAGTTTGCGTACGACGATTTTTGGTTTGTCTAAACCACACGTGGTTCAATACGTTAAGTTATCGCCGTTCCAAACGCTACAGCGGATGTAGACCAACAATGAATGACAATACACACAAAAGGTGAAAGCAATTCGTTTTCCCCCTCTTCACAAAACCATTTAACGATGTTCTTTACAACCCGTTTAATTGGTGCACCAAATAACAAATGGTGTTGAGTGGGGCAAATTCACGGTTTTGCCAATTTTCCATTTTATAATTTCTATGTGTGAAGCTGTAAATTTTTATACTTTCCAGTGATTGGCATCATATCGATCCAATCTGAAAAAAAACTTACTTATAACTCTTATTAGTTTAAAGTTCATCTCATTGAAATTATGGTTCAGCAATTAATAATTCTTCTACAAACTTTTCTTTTTAAATTTACTTTCGTTTGTTTTTGGCTTATTTGAAGAAGAAAATGTTATTGCATAATGAGGTCGTTACCATTCGAGTTTCTTAAGAGAAAAAAAAGCGAAGCCAAATCAGTAATAAAACCATTTTAAGGGTGCGGATTTCTTTTTAGAATGGCTTCCTTTTCAGCCACTCAAGGGCATTATTCTTTTCCAGTTGCACGCGACTCCAAAGTACAAAATTCGTGGCTTAATTGTAAACCTATATTTTTTATTTTTCTGTCGAAAGTGTTCATCATCTTGCCATCTTCAGTGGCATTTACAAACTGACAAAAACATTTGCCAAAATAACACACAGGCCCAACTCTGTAAATGGAGAAATGCCATAACGGGTCCATCAGAGTTCATTGCAGGTGTATTGATATTTTATTTATTTCAGTATTGTTAATTAATTGGATCTAGCTAGAGAAAATCTGAATCATCTTAAGTTACAATTATCTAAACGAATTAAATTATTAATCACATTTTTCCAGTTTTTTTTTTTTTGTTCTAAAAATAGCAATTTAACTTGCAGCATAAAGTATGCATTTTATTCCATATCAAACTATAGAAATTTTAAAGAAAGATGCTAGTCTGCAAGTCGGTAAACTCATGCTGTACTGGCATTGGGTTTGTCCGAACACAAAACTGTGAAGATAGACCTAGTACTGGTTCAGCATTAATTTTAAGTACCAAAGAGTAGATAAAAATCAGGTATTTGTTCTCTACATATTTGCCGTTTTATTTCTTATTTACAAACTTAGTAATTCACTAGTTATATTTACAGATATAAACACTCACTTAAGTCACGATAGCGCAAGTGGTTAGAGCGGTGAAGTATTGAGCCGATGGCCGTAGGTTCGAATCCTGTTCGTGACACTAATTTTTCAACTCAATCACACTGCATAAAAAACAATAAATCAATTAAAATAATCACTTTTGTTATTAGAACCAATAAAACATATATATAAATAAACACTAACTTACAGGCTCTTTTGACTTTTTTTTATAATGCATATTATTATTATATTGAAAATAAATGCTAATGGTATGATGAACATTGTAACCCTGTAGACAACAAACAAGGTTTTTATTTCTCTAATACAAAATATTTCTACAGAAGGAAGCTTTTGTTGTTTGGTTACACGAATTTCAAGTTAGATTTAAAAAAAGGAGAAGAGAAAATGAAATGCACAACGTTTCACATTGTTTTCACAGAAGAATCAGAAAAGGAGCCTAAAAAGCCATTGAGATCCATTGGGTAATTAATAATATTCCAATTGACAAAAATAAATTTTATGTTAAAAGGTAACGCAGGTGAAAAACTTGTTTTTTACTTGTTCTCATTTATCAAAATTTAGAAATTGCCAGAACAGTTTACTTTTTTTTTTAAATAAGTGAGCACTAAGCCATTGTAATAACAATTTCTTAGATGTAATAAAACCTTAGTTAAATTAATTTTTTCTTATGAAAATTATTTGACCTATAAACACATACATATTGGCCAATATGCTAGACCATAAGGCAAAAAAAAACAAAAAAAACACATACATATGCTTCCATTATGACCATACGTATACCATAAAAACAAAATCTGAAAGGTGGCTTCAAATTATGAAAATATAGGATACCAGAGGCAATTTTCTAATTTTCTAATTTCTAATTTTAAAATCAGCAAACATTTATGAGAAGCAAACAAAGAATGATTGAAACTATGTTTAAATTAATTAATTGGTTTTAATTAATTTATTTTATATTTCCTAAAATTTATTTTTTCGGGATGTTACAAAGTGGAAAACTAGGCCAGTGGGTTTCATGAATTTTATATTCTGGATGTTTGACATTTCTTTGCTCTCATTTCCATTTTCCCACTTTTCTAATGACTAAGGAACAATTCAGTCACATATGCTTAGGTGAGAGAAAAGGAAACATAACTAGAAGACAGAACGGTTACTAACATCAGCCGTTATGAACAAGTGAGTCAAATTCAGAATTCCATTGATGAGTTCAAAACCGGTTTTTCTGGAAAGTTTAGACTAATGAAAGTCTATTTTTTACAACTTGAGAATAATAAATAGTTTTTCTTAGATTTGTTTGCACATAATATTGAAACTATATTTAGTATTGCTTATGATATTTTCTGTGTAATAAGACGTGTGTCTGTATCAATGTGTGAGTCCCATTTTTTCTGATCCTTTAATACATATTTAATGATATGTTAGTTATTGTTAGTTCTTGGTCATTTACTATTTATATAATTTATGTTTCAGGACATCACTTTTTATTATTATGAGTTTTATATATGCGAAGCTTCTGGTGGTGATATGTATAGCATATGTTGTGTCAGAAGTAGTAACTCATAGTCTACCTCTTCCGTATTACGAGGTATGTTGTATTTCAGCAATATAAAAAAATACAAAGTACAATTTTATCTTTTGTTTACAGGGTTTCTTTACATACTTGTATGGTACAAGCATTTTGTTCCTACTGTATGTTTTCTGTTTCCTCTTGCAAGAGAGTTCTTGCTGTCAAGGTGGAGAGCCGAAGCCTCCCAAGCCAAAGAAGGAAAAGAAAGAGAAAGAGAATAAGAAAAATCAGAAAAAAGAGAACAAGGAAAAAGAAAAGAAAGAGAAAGAGAAGGAAAAAGAGAAGGCCAAAGAGAAAGAAAAAGAAAAGGAAAAAGAAGGCAAAAAGGACAAAAAGGATAAAAAAGATGGAAAAGAAAAAGAGAAGGAAAAGGAAAAGGAAGCAGCAGCACCTGTATCAGCACCTCCACCGCCACCTCCTCCACAGGGCCAGAGAAACTCGAGATCTAACATTTTCCAGGTAAAATTGTTTTATAAATTTGTACAAATAATAAAAAATATATTTGTATCAGTGAAATCATAATTAATGGTTTAAAATAAGAAAGGTAATTAAATTATATTTAAAAAGTATTTTAACAATGTTAAAGTGTATATATTTTGTTTACTTGAATTATTACTATTTATTTTCTATTTATTTTATTTCAATACTAGCGTTAATGAATGCAAAACCAATTTAAACAATCTTTTTAACTAAGAGCAACATGGATTTAATCAATTTAAAAACCACTAGGAACAGCTAACATTAAGGTTTAGGTGTAGAATTTCTAATTATGCTACTAATTTTTGCTATCTAGAAAACAAAAGTGAAAACAATTATTTAAACAAATAAGTAAACCTGTTATATTTTTGTTTGCTTTTAAATCAAGCGAGGATGGTTTTATTTTATGTTTTGGTTTTGATTTGTTTTATTTTTATTTTTTTATTATTTATTTATTTGCTTTACATGATTAGAACGAAGTATACCCACGCAAAATGCGTGATGTGGTCCGCCAGAAGTCGGTCTGCGACGTGGACGAGAGTCAAATGGTGAGTCCGAAAAAAAAAAAAAAATCAAAAAAAGCCCACCTTTCCAAAATCAATCATGCAAACATTGATTTAATCTTCACAGAATTAATCTTAGGTGTTCTTGTTTGCCTTTACTTACGTTTGCAGCCATTTTGCATTCAGTGTGACCTGTAATGAGTGGAATGTAGTTTGTTAGAGTTATTTTTATTTTATTTTGTTTTGTTTAATTGGATTCCAAAACAATGTACTGAAGTGTGCTTGTATAGTAAAATATTTTTGTGCATACAATTTCACAGTTTTTTGTTTTAAGTTTTTGACTATAGGTCTGTTAGAAGTTCAACCTTTGAATTAAATCCAAATCATTTATATTTGTGATTTGTGATTTGTATTTCTGGTTTGTTGATGAAACATTTGATTTCAGTAAAATGTAGTCATTTCTTCCTTTTATTTTCATTTCTATACTAAGAATAAATGATTTATTAACTAATTAACAATATTAAGTAACATTTTTTGGCATTGCTTCTATCTAAATATTGACTTAAAATAATAAATGAGTTATATCTATAAAAAAAAGCAATATCAGTTATTTATTTCTTAAAATTATATATTAGGAGCATTATTTGATTTGTTAAAAAAAATGTTGCACAACTCGCCTTAAATTTTCCATCTTAAAATTATTATAATGGATGGTTGATTTCTTTGGGCATAGCTTTTTTTTAATAGAAACTAACCAATTTCTAAAATTATACACAGAAAATTGTGTGCAGCAAAATATATTTTGATATGAAAAGTACGGTTGTGTGATGTTCTCCATTTTGCACTTGAAGATGTGTTGTTACATAGCTAAAACAAAAACAAATTAAATCAATAACAAAAAACAGGCATGTTTGACAATGTAAAATGCCTGCAATATCTCTTGGCAATGGATTTCCACAATGAATTCATTATAAAGCACAATGCAATGTGTGTTATTAACACATATTAACCATTCTCCTAATTTATTTTATTTTGTTAAACACTAACACTACAATACTTATCTCTCCTATAAGTGCTATGCTTAAATGTACCTTTGGTGTATTGTAAATGTGGTGGGTGAGAGGATATGTAACATTATCAAATAACTTTATTTTACCCCATGCAATAACAGAAAAATAAACCTATCAAAAATGTTTATCACAGCATGATAGATTTTTGCAACAACTTGCCAAACATTTTGAAAAAATATATCAATTTTTATAAATATGAGTTTGAATCAACTTGAGAATTTTTTTAATGTATAGTTCACTTTAACTTTTAGTTTATAATTTCCCAATGACATTAATCTCTGTTAATTAAAATATGATTTAAGTGATTACATAATTTATAAAATATTTAAAAATCTAATTAATTGTTAACTAACTGACGGGTATTTTTATTTTACTTTTGAACAGTTAAGTATTCTACTTTTTTTAAATATTAAAAAATGTCCAGCTTATGACTGACCTAACAATCACATTTCCTTTGTTGATTGAAACTCATAAAGCACAAATAATAATTAGTAGAAAGAATCATGAAAAATTTCTACTCATTTTGTTCAACAATTCCTAATAGTATTATTTTTATATCTTTAATGTAGGGTTTGGGTACACTCAAGAAAAGTAAAGCAGGTGGAGATGCTCAATCCCAAGAAAAGCTGTCAGGAGGTGCGCCAGATACGGTGGACATTGAAGCCGCAGTCGTACCAATGTCTTCTCCTGGTCGAAAACGGAAAACGTCTCAAAATACAAACAGTCACGGAAGCTTTTTCCTAAGAGTCGGTGCAATAGGTTTGGCATTTCAACTTTATTAGTTGAACTGTAGATGCTAAATTACCATGTTGCCATTTTCAGCTTTTGGTTTGGCTACAATGATATATAACGGTTTGGAATTTGGTGCATTTTTTGAAATCCCAATGCATTCAACATGTTACCAGATTTTGAGGGGAGTCAACCCTGTTCTCCAAATGGTTTTCACATTCATGCAAATGTATTTCATATTCATGAATTCAAGGGTATAATTTAATCATCTACTCACTGATTAAATTGATTTATGTTCATTTTCTTATTATTTTTCCAGTTGAATATTCACAAGTTTAAAGTGATTGCCAGATTTGGACTTATGCATATTTGTGCCACAAACTTGTGTGTTTGGATAAGAACTTTGGTCCTCGAGAGTCTTAAGGAAATATCGGCATATCTTGACCGTAACGTGACTGCTACCGTGGCACCCACCATAGTCCCTGGAAGTGATTTCAGTAACTTTTTGGGAAAACATTCCGGTGAGTGATCTCTTACATTGCATATATTGATTTTAATTTATGTCACCCGAGTCCATAACCTTGATTGTTTCTATAAAGTTTTCTTCCAAATAAATGGTAATATTTTGTAACATTAATCCTTGTATATGAGATAATTGTCAAGGCTTGTACATCAGTTGGCCTGTTTATTTGTACCTTGCTTGATTTATGGTTACACATAAAATGAAACGTGTGAAAAACTCTGAAATTACATACATTCTATGGTGTACAGGGTGTAATAAAAATCTGTTTTTGTTTTTAATATTTTTTTAAATTAATAGTTTTCGGTTCACTACTCACCAGTAACAGCTTACTAGTAAATAATATAAATATTAATTTCAATAGCATTTATTCCAAATATTTATAAAACTTTTGTAACAATAACCCAATGCTGTAATTACAAACATTCTTAACCCTCATATTGAAAAATTCATCTAAATTATTAAATCTTTACATAGAAGTATATATGTGTGCACACTATGGAAGATCAGTTGTACATTTCTCTGCGCCTTGGATCAGAGTCTGGAATTCCAGAGGCAACAATGGAAATCTAACAATGATTGCAGGGTTTACGAACTGACAGTCTGACGTGCTAACCACTTGGCTATTTCAGCCCCCCTAGTAGAAGTTAAACTGATTTGTACCATCCAAGGGAGCACTTTCAAGGGAGCAAGATCACTCGCAAGGGGAGTACTTTCACCCTTCTTCTGTGGGTACAGTTAATGAACTTGATATACTAAACTTTAAAGGAAAAACATATTGTGGTTGTGCGAACGATGCCGACTTATTGTAAAGCTTGAAAAAATCTGCTACTTAATATAATACACTAAGGCTAAAAGTAGCCTTAGTAAAGGAAACCAAAGTAGATTTCACTTGAAATATAAAATTCATAAAATTTTACAGGTTGAGTTCCTTGAGCTAAAAACGCAATTTGAAGATTTATTTTCAAAATATTTTATTATAGAATTGCAATGGGGTCTTTGGGATGAACCCCAAGACCGAACTGACAGTAAACCTAGGCAAGTATGCCACAGTTTTCCAGACTGAAATCATAGCGATTTTCTTCCAGAAGATAGTCATTTTTCTCTGACAGCCAGGCAGCTCTCAGGGTCTTATCCTCATGCGAGGCGAAGGCAAAGAGTGTTTGGACATGCATGGAGGCTCTGATGGAAGTCAGCGACATTAATGACCTGACCCTGGCATGGGTCCCTGGACATTCGGGGCATAGAAGCAATGAAAAGGTTGACATGTTGGCCAAAACGGGAGCCAACATGAACTCCGGGCACAGAACCTTACTGCGACCAAGCAGCCTGCCACAAAAGAGGATACATCTTAAAATGGATCCTTAATGAGTCCAAAACGTGGTGGAATAATACCACAGGTGTGAGGTACACGAAGAGATTCATAGAAGGACCATCCGCAAAATTAACAAAAGAACTACTGGAAGGCAACCACAACCGAACCAGGATTCTGGTAGGACTCCTGATGGGGCACTGCCATTTAAGAAAGCACATGCACCGAATAGGATTACAGACCTAAGAAACACTGTGCAGATACTGCCAGGAAGAGGAGGAGACTGCAGAACACATTTTATGTTTCTGCGAAGGTCTATGTAGGTGCAGGTTCTTGCAACTAGGACAAGAAAAACCACAAGCAAGATCCTACACCAAATAACCGCTGGTAAAGCTGTGGAGGCTGGTTAATAGTCTGAACCTGGCCAGTGAGTTATAATTGAGGAGCACAATAGATCTATTTAGGTCGGCCTTGTGGCTGCCTCTCTTATCCCTATAGAATTGCAAAATGGTCAGTGAGATTGCCTTAATCATAGTTAGCTATTAAAAATTATAATGCGATTTTTGTAAAATTTCAATTTTTTATCTCATATCATAATCAAAATTAAAGCTAATCATTGATACAGCAAGTTCATCACTGTAAAGGCTCTGGGTCAAATCCAGTGGCCCTGAATTCAAACTGAACAGGATTTACAAAATGGGCTTTTCGTCAAGAGTTTTATCGATCTTCAATGAATCAATTTCTTGAATATGTTTGGATCGGGGATGAGGTCCTTTTTTTCAGAACATTAAACTGGTTTCCTCTTGTTTGAACTAAAAAATTGAATATGTTTGGATCGGGGATGAGGTCCTTTTTTTCAGAAAATTAAACTGGTTTCCTCTTGTTTGAACTTTTGTAGCCATCTATACCCTCTTCTTCAGGAACCTTAATTTAAGGAAGGATTTAACCTTTTTGGGGCTGATTTTAGGATGCTAAAATGTGTTTCCTGCCTATATGACTGTGGCCCACCCCAGCCTGATTTATTTTGTCATTGCTTGAAATTGCTCTTATTCCTTTTGAGGTGTACCAATTATGTTCAAAATTTGAGAGTGCACCCCTCAGATATTATAGCTTAAAATGGAATTAAGTTAGTGGAAGGAGAAAAGTAGTATTTAGTAGAAAATATTTAATTGAAAATTTATTTTCCACAAAAAGTTTCATTATGTATATTAAAACATAGTAACTAAAAGAACAACATAAATACTGATTATTGATTTATTTAGCTCAATTCTGTACACAAATATGTACATACAAATAAACATGTGCACAATTGAAAAGATATACATAAAATGAATATATAAAACTAAATATATATAAATAAGAACACCAGAAGCAAAAATGTATTCTGAAAATTGCTGTGAATGTAAAGCTAAAACTAAAGGCACTTGGCAGACAAGAGGAAAAACATCAGAAAGAAGTACTAGAAGGTTGGGAAGGATAGAGGGTTGAGAAGGGCAGGGGCAATGGGTAGACAAAAGTGGACATTCCCAGTGAGATGGAAATATTGTGACTGAAGGGTTTTCCAGAAAAATGATTGTGTCGCAATTGCGGAAAAGTTTGCAAGAGAGGCTAGATAGTGAATAGAAGGTTGGTTCACTAATGATGAGAACAGGAAAGGAAAGTTGTGGGTGGTGTTGTCCATTTATGACCAAGGTGTCTGCCACACATTGGATAAATCTCAGCCCAAATATGTTATTATCGAGCTAGAGCTCTTAATTTGGAAAAAAAATTGAGAATGAAACAATTGGTCACTGGACCTAGGAGAATGTAAGCTGGAATGAAACAACTGTCACAGAGCCTAGGGGAGCGTATAAACCCGAACGAGACTACATGTCAGTGGGCCTGGGGAGCTTATAAGCCTCAACAAGACAACCCATCACTGGGCCTGGTGTGACACCAAGCCTGAATGGCTCGGTGTCACAATGAAATGAAATAACTCATCATGAGTCCCAAAAAGGTCAATAAATCTTTATTACGGTTCTGAGGAAGACCACATTTTCTGGACAAAAAATATCTCAACCATTATCCAAACACATCCAAAAATGGGCTTTTATTTTAAAAAAATGTTTAACACAAAAAGACACCCCCCATAAAAAAGACAAATATCCACAAACTTTTGTTACACCCTGGTGAAATAAAATCTAATAACGTATCAGAGTTTTTTTTTTTTTTGGCTTCATTTTATTTATGATTTGTGGTTGACTGTCATATTCAGAGGATATCAAAATTATCTCCATTGATTTGAATGTTAGACAGTATAAGCAATAAGAAACCACAAAAATTCATTAACATGAAAATATGCAATTTGTTGAATGGTTCCTTTCGCGTGTGATCATGGCCTCTCCCATTGGGATTTTTACAGAAACATTTCAAGGAGTTGCAACAAGTACTGTGCCAACAACATTGGCGACAGTGGCCAATTTATTTCACAGGACAACTCGAACAGTTGCAACAACTACACAGCAAGTGATTTATACGGCCACATCCTCTGCAATGCCTAACACAACTACATCAACCAATATGCCTCCAACCACTACCACTACCACGACCACCACTTCTCTTCCGCCGTTCTTTTCCTTCCTCAACTCGACTACCCTTTCCCCTTTTGCCCATTTTTTCCCATTGGCGAACAATAATATCCCAGGTAAATGAAGGTGATTGGCTAGTTAAAAAAAATATAGATAAATAAAAAGTTGGATTTTCCTGCATGAATATCAAGTCCCTTCTACCCCTTTTGAAGTCCATTTACATTTTGTTGAATGGTACATTGTGGCATGTTGCAAATAGGTTTCTACTCTCATTATTCAGTTTAGCCACTTCTGAACAACATCATTCATTGCTTGTAATACCTTCTTTATTGTACATCATTTGTAGCATGAAATCGCTCTTCTCAAATTGGACTCTAGCAATAAGATAATTCAATTATTCATTAAGGCACTCCATGAGCCTTTTAAATATCAGTTTATCGAATGTTTTAATCATTGCTTTTTGTGAGTGTCGTATAAGGCTAATTAACAAGAATTACAATTAGAATGTAAAATATTACCAATATAGATAGTGATAACTGAAAGTTTAATTATTGTTTTATAGAATATATATAAAATAACTAAGCATTCTAATTATTTAACTGCTAAATAGATTCAGTTTGCATGATTTCAGATAAATGTAATACTTAATAATGATTACTGTTTTAGCAAACTTTAAATTTATCGTCTGATTTCTATAGAATTGGATGTAGACAATGTGATTTTTGTTTCTTTTTTCGCCTTAATATTTTAATAAATAATCACATTCACAAAACACACACAAAGCAAAACTGGACACTTGTATTTATTTATTTTCGATAATAACTAGGTATAAAGATGTTTATAATTTAATTAAAGGTAAGCAGTATTAATAATGTGTTTACCTTTACAGAGTAGTACTAATCTTTTTACACTTTTGAGAATGAAAATAATGAAAATCAGTTCAATTTCTTTTTCAGAGACTTGAGTTAAGTGTTTGTTGTTGGTTTTTAAATTGTTTTCTTTAAGGAAACAATAAATTTGAGTAAAACATATTAATTTAAGCCATTAAAGCATAGTTTTAAGTTGGGAAAATCTCACCCAGGAAGATGCTTTGCCCAACGAAGAACGTAGTGTTCATTACACGCCATGTAGATGGCTACAGTGGTGCCAATCGTAGAAAAAGGAATGGTTAACCATGATGATTGACGACTAGAGACGATGATTTTACTGCTCGTACCACACTACGGAATCTTCGTTTAACAGATTCCTTGATAAGTAGTCTCCAAACAGTCTGTACTGTAAGTGAGCTCTAAAAGTCATCAGAAGCTATTCTATGTGGATGTCTCGCATCAAATTGTCTTCTACTAGAGAGGATTTGGTTGACTATTCGCAAATAAGCATGTCACATGGACATTTGAACAATGGGGTCTCTTCACAGATGAGTGTCAGTTTGGTTTGTATCAATCAGATGACTGAGACCATATGAAGAGAAGATACGGAGAACGCTTTGCTTCATGTGTCATGGAATAGATCTTTGACCACACTAAGGTACATTGAGGAAGTGCTTTTAGAAGCTGTGATCCCATTCGCTCCATTTATTGGCCACAACATGGGTAATGTATAGTAATCCTTGACCCCATGTAGCTCAACTTGTCATACAATACTTGGAGGTAGTTGTTCATTGGGATACCACAATGAATTGGCCAGCATATTCTCCTGGCATGAATCCTATAGGAACCAGGATTCTGTTTCACAAGAAAAAATCCGATCACTTTTCAAAGACACCCAGTTATGACATGGGGTGGAATCAATGTCCATGCTCGTACCAAATTGGTTATCATTCAGAATGGATCTTTGAGCTTGCTTCATTCATTGTGGACAAATTTGTGTTAATACATGTTAATGCTTGACCGCAAGAAGCTCAAGAGTGACCCATTAATTGGAGGATGCAGGGATTACCATGATGAATTGGCCAACATGTTTTCCTGATTTGAATCTCAAAAAACCTTATGGGACAAGAGACAGGTTAGACATCATTCATTGTGATTAATATAATGATTAAACTATAGTTTAAAATAAACAACAAAATACAAGTGTTCGGTTTTTGTCTTTGAGTGTAGATTAGATGGTGTACAACACCAGCCTCATCTATCACCTTTATTCTTTTCAAACAAATATTACTAATGGACTAAGATTGAAGCAGACAAATAGAAGGAATTGGTCAAATTTCTAATAGTCTATTAGTTTATAACTAAACTGTTTTTAACATTTTATGTATTATCTTCAGTGCTTCCATTTCTTTCAGTTGAAAAACTTTTACATTCTTTCCTTTAAGATTAAAACATGAAATTATTGTTTTTATCCCAGTGTTTTATAAACTACATACTTGTACTAATATAATTTAATAATTTTAGTCTTTCTTCCATAAATGTAATGATCACAAATTTTGAAAAGTACTCAAAATTGATTATTATTTTAATCAATTGTTATTCTGAATCACTCGGCATTTAAATCATTTAATTTAGTCTTCCTCTTTCATTCAGCTTTCAGTGGATTGCAGTCTGATATTTCAGAAGAAAGTGAACCTCCACTCGCACCACAAGCTCTGGTCGACCACAGGTCATTGTCATCAGAAAATTGCGAAAGAAATAACATAATGGGGACTATAGTACAAGATTCGGCACCTTATCTGTACCCATTTATTATTGAATACAGTTTAATCGGAGCTGCAGTTATATACGTCATGTGGAGACACATCGGAAAAAACCCTCGGTATGATATTTTAAATAGAACAATCGCCCCAGACAGTATATTGCTTGTTTCATTATAGCTATCACACTGAAGAAGACCTTGAACACAGACTGGAAGTAATTTTGTCACGAAGGGCAGTTGCAATGGCTCACGCCCAGCAAGGCGGAAGGGTAGATTGTGTAGGTGCGAGCAAAGGACTATTTCTCGGGCTGCTACTTTTGGTCGCATCTCTCATATGCCTTATATTGTTCTTTGTGCTCATTCACAATCCTATGTTGAGCCTCTTGGCGATTTATCTGGCTGATGTATCTCACTGTGCGCTGATGGTTCTATCAATATTTGCTATTATTATTGGTTTCATAAGGTATAATATCTTGGTAAATCTGTCTTGTAATTTTTTTTACTTGATTTTCGCTTTTTTTTTTTTTTTTTAATAGAATTCAAGGACTTAAATTCAAAGGAGAGGAGCAGAACGACTTAAATGATATCCTTCTTCGAGTTTCTGCGTTTGGCCTTTTCATTTATGCTGTATTCAGTGTCATAGCGGGATCTCTAACTGCCCTCACAAGTGAACCTAATCTTCTGGTTATGGTGACTGGTGTCCTCTCTATATTTCAAGTGAGAAATTTTGTACTCTAATTAACAATCAATTCTTCAAACTGTATAACCAAAATAATGTCAATTTTTGTTCAGGTTGTTTTACAACTACTTTTCATATCGGATGTGTCAAGGCGACGAGTGTACCTCCCAGAGCACGATAGAAGTAAACCTGGCCGACAGATTGTTACATTCCTATTGATTGCAAATGTCACTATGTGGATTATTTATACATTTGAAATGCAAAAGGTTGTGGCAAACCCTGTTCAGGTGAGCATAATTTAAAACATTTAGTTAAGTATGTTTTCAAGTAGTAGTACGTTTTCATACAAATACAAAATTAAATTAAAAAGTTCTAATCTAGAATCACACCTGTGAATCGTACACAGTCCCGCTAATGTAGTACAATCGTTAATAAAAGTGCTTCTATATGAAGCCACAATTTGCTTACAATTAGAATAAAACGGGGAGTTGAAATGAGAAGTTTGTGGCATGGGCGATCGAAGTCATGGTAGCTCAAGTGGTAGAGCAGCGGCGTATTTGGCCAAAAATCGTGGGTTCGAATCCCGCCTGAGACATAAATTTTTCATTTCGAAAAAATTGTATATAATTAATTGAGTAATTAAATACAAAATTATTTAAAATTAGAAGTTATAACATTCAATTTTAAAGAAAAAATATTGTGTCCTGGGTTTGATCTATAAAAAATAAAATAATCACTATTTTCTCAGGAATAGTGAATTTTTCAAGACAATACACTTTGTACCATATTGCAAAATTTAAATTTTAAAAACTTATTAAAAAAACCTTACTTTGGACAACTTTACAATAAAATTTCCAAAAATAAACAAAATACTGTTTAATAAGAAAGATAGCTCCCTCAAAAAAAAAAAAATCATATTTGAATGGAAGAATAAGGATGAGGCTGTACTCATGCTCTCAATAATGACTCCTATTATTATTATTATTATTATTAGCCATACTAGCCTATGGGAAATGTTTAAATTATGGAACAAAAATTCAGAATTCTAATTTTAAAAAAATATATTAAAAAAATAAAAAATATTTAATAATTTAAAATGGGATTTTTGCATACATTTGTCCTTCCAAATTAAAGCTTGGATGGCAATAGGATAAATTAGTTTACGAGTGAATGTTTGGAGTCAGAGCTTTATAGCACTCAGAAGGGATATAGCTGAAATGTTCTTAGCCATTAAAACACCCTTAAAAATTAATAATAATAATACTGTTCTTTAAAGGCGAAAGATTTATTCATTATGAAGGGAGACTAGTATGAATAAAAATAAAATAAAAATCAAGCCTCGTCTCTCTGAGTTCTCTCTATGTGTCCATGGGGTTCCTCTTTATCCATCCTGCAGGGTACGCTCCTCAATCCTCTAGAGTTGTATATAACCAGGAGAACTGCAGCAAACTACAATATTTTTCACTTTTTTTCTTTTAACATACAGCAACTGTCCTGGAGCCTTCCTCACCCTCTCTATCCCTCCAGTAGGGCTTGAGCCACTCACCTCACCATCCTGCCCTCTGCTTTTTATACCGCTCGGGTGTTTTCAACCTTTCACCGTCATCACCGAGCTTTCTGGTTAGATTCTCCATTTCAAACAGACCCCCCTTACCCCATCGTGGGAAGAAATTCTTTTATATATTAAATTTTTCTTATCTTTTCATTGACTTGTTACATATATGGATATAGAGAAATTAAATTTTCCAGCATTATTAACATTCATTATAATTTCCAGCTGGACTTTTACGGGTTCCTCGCTTGGTCGGTGGTACAAAGAATTACTCTACCATTGTGCATTTTCCACCGATTCCATTCAGCTGTGACTCTTGCAGAAATATGGAAGACAAGTTACAAACCTCGTCTCGATTAAATCCGAGGGGTAAACCCTCTCTCATACTTCATGATATTTTGGTTATTTTATTCATTTTTGACTTTTTTGTAAAAAGTTACAAGTAGTTGTGATTCTTTACAAATTTCTGCAAAAATCAAAAGATTTTAGCTGTAATCTGTACTGCTTTAAATGTTACCCCTTGTTGGTAAGTGTTACATGCAGTTTGTAGCGATCTTCACTGTTTTGAAGCCAATTTACAAATGATGGTCCCTATTGATGAACAACCAGATAGGGAAAAGAGTGACCCAAATTTGTACTTGCTCAACTTTTATATAAATTGAAATATAACAAAGAGATTGAAATCCACAACAGGAAAAATATTGAAGAATTGTAGATTGGCTTCTAGAAAACAATTCTTTGGCCCATTATCAAAATTGATGTTCAATAGAATAGCATGTAGGTACGTACCTTTTTAATGTTAAGATAAAGCCCCAACATTATTTAATTAATTTTGAAGCTGTTACAAATTCCACAAAAGCCAGTAAGACCAGGTGTACAGCTATTTATTTTTTCAGATAAATAATATATTACTTTTTGCATCTCTTTGATTCCATCTTTATTTATATGATAAAGTTAGAAGAAATACTTTAAGCTTTTTTTTTTCATTCTGTTTTGTTTGTTGTATACATTTGTATATGTAGTTATTATTTTTGTGTCATAATTTTTGCTTTTTTTATTTTAAAAGCAAAAAAAGAAACATTACAATTTCTTTTGTCAATTCGCCTTGCTTGTAAATATCCATATTTTAATTAACTCTCTCGGAGTAAATAATTTCTAACCTTTGGAAAAAGGAAGGGGTCCAGAAATTGAGGAGCATATGTTATTGAATTAACTTTTCCCATATTCAATGCCAACTTTCTAAAGAGTAATGTTGCTGAGATAATTTAAATACGACATATTTTCTTGTAACAAATTAAAAAAGAAAAGTTTAACAAACAAGTGTTATAAACTGTAACAAATAAAATATATGGCTCTATATTAACACTGTTTATGTAAATATTTGTCTTATAGATGTGATAAAACTTAAAAAAAAGTAGTTTATTGTAATTTAATTTACCAAAGTTTAAAAAAATATTTATTGCTATTTATTGTACATATGGTGTGTTTCGAAAGGTATATATGTTTGATATGTTACAAATCAGAGAAAAAATGAGATAAAATTTTTCAATAAATAAAAGCAATTACTTTTTATTTGTTATAAGATAAAATAATAAAGATTTATTTTTGTGTTGTACATTTAAAAATGAATGGTTTTTTGACCAATTAAACTCGGACAGTTTTTAAATAAAGAGTAACCAAATTCACAGTACAGTAACACTGACTTACTCAGACAAAATAAATTGGATTAATTTTGATACAAACCTTTATCACCATTGGATTAAATAAAATAATTGGTTGATGTGAAAACAAAATACCTTGTTATATCATTTCTTGAATAAATCAGTTTATTTTTTGTACTGTGTTGTTAACAAATACTTGCTGCTTTGGTTCTTACGAGGAGAAAGAGCCATAGATGTTTGATGCAATTTATTTCTGAGTGGTAAGATTTTGATATAAAAAAATTGAAAAAATGTCAAAAGACATTTAAAAAAATTAAATGTGACAATTTCGCTGGTCCAATATTAAACAGGACAAATTGTCTAATTTATAAATATAACATTTTATAAGAAATGCTAGAATTAATAATTCTGTAATGTAAATATCAGGCTGAGTGTTGTCCATCTTAAAATTAAAACTAAATAAATAAGTTTACAAGTCTTACTACAACATACAAAATAAATGTTTTATATATGTCATAAAATAAAATACATTGATCTGTACAGAATCAAGACATTCACAATACTGTATTGTTTTTTTTTTAATCACATAATTGTGCTAAAAATATAATGTAAAAATGCCCTAGAAATTAAGTCAGTGATTACTTTTGTGAATTAAAGTGTGTTAGACTGTTTTATCACAATTAATAAATCTTTCTAAAAAAGTAAGAGAAAATTTTGGGTTTATGTTGTGTGATTTAATTTTTGAACATATGATTAATAAAGAAAAACATGTATAAACAACACACGCATATATTTAACATTGAAGTTGTTTTTATGTGGGTCCAACTGTTTAAATTGTGTCCCAGTGCTATTGAAAAACTTTTCCAAATTGATTGAAACATTCAACACTTTTGTCATGTAGTTGTTGTTACCAGTATAAAGTCAAATTCTCATTTAATGAAAATCACTGTAATAGTCATTTATCTAGAAAAGAGATCATCATTTATATTCATAAAATATATTATCTCAAGGTAGAAATTTAAAATGAAGCATATTATACAAATATTAATATATAAGATCTCAATGTTCAGGCTTAAGTGTATTTACCGGATATATAAATATAGAAGTAAATAAAATCTAATAAATTATATGAAATAAATTAAAGTAAAAAAGTTTGGATCGTGGATTTAATTATTGTTGAGAATTAAAGTGATGAGTCATTTTTATATATAGAGGGAAAAATGATTAATTTTTGCTTAAATATATATTAGTACAAACTATCAATTCTTGATATGCCATTTTCTAATTAATTTACATGTTACTCGCCAACAGACAGTGGCCAATGATGAATGCGTTCTTCCAAGTAACCGTTAGATTCGACATTATGTTCTATTACCAAAATTTAATAGATAATATTAAATTGAAGTGTAAACATATAAAATTGTAATTATTAGTACGTTAAAATAGTGCATATGCATATAAATATGCATATAAATATGCATCAGGAGATAATTTATTTTTCAAAGGCGTTTATATAATTAACAATTTATTCGAACAATCATACAAATAACGTATGTTAAAAAAAATTGCATTTATTATTAAGATAGTCACTGCCACCTTGAATGACCGCATTTTTCCATTTTCGTATATCATACATTCCTTTTGTAAAAAATATATAACCAAAATAAAGTCTTTGGTATGTAATGAACAAGTCCAACTAGAAAAAATTGAGAATATTGCCATCATTATATTGTTCAATTTTTAAAAAGTCAAACTATTGGGCCAAACAAGAGCTATTAAATTATAATTTTTTAAACATTTTTATATAATTAGATTTTTTAGTCAAACTACCTTTTATATCGATTTGTTTATTTAATCACTTCCTCAGATGAACAAACTTAAATGGTTGTGATTAAACGCTAAAAGAAAAAAATTATAAATTAGAAGAATCATGACAAATGCATTTACTTTGGAAATATAAATAAATAAGACATAATGATGCTCCTTGAATAAATATAATTATGACTTTTTAATATCATGGTTTGTACAATTGTTAATTTCTGTTTTTCTCATATTAATATTATATATAAATAAAATACAAATTATAAACCAAATAATATTGTTTGTTTCAACAACTTCCTTGCGAAAACAACATATAATTTTGAAACAGTTGACCGAAGAAAGAGGAATATACAATCAAAGACAACAACAACAAAATTCACTCATATTTTGTTGTTTATTTCAAACTATGTATTTTATCATAATATTAATTACATTTTAATTTAAACCAAATGAAACAAGATAAGAAATTTACGAGTTTTAATAAAAATTATTTAATTATGGTAGTTTGAAAGAAAATTCACAAAAAAATAGTGATAGTTAAAATTTAACATCATTTATTAAATAATTATTTTTCCACCAACTTTATTTACAGATGACTATATACATCGAGATGAAAATAGATTAAACCATGTTTAAACTAAACATTAAATTAAAAAACTACAATTTTCTTATATCAACAACAATAGAATAAAAGTTAGTAGTATAGATACCCAAGAGGAAGTCCTATTTTAGGGCTCACCTGCCTCAATTTTATCAAAGAATGAATGTAAAACAAGGCTTGGGGAAATAATAAAGCTTAGTTAATTAATTAAATATTGAGTTGTGCCTAATTGTATTATCCGATAGGAGACTTTAGTACTTGATGAGCTATTGCTTAATTTGTTTTGAATTTTCCTTTAAAATAAAGCACTTTTTTAGCCTTCTGGAAGTTTAAGAGCCCATTTAGGGCCTTCGTACAAGAAACATTTTAGCACTAGAGAGATTTAGGTTGAGGCAATATGTACTGCATTGAGTTCTCCATTTAGAATTGAAATCCAACATTTAGCAATCATAATTGAATGTATTTATTATTTGAATTAATTGTACTTATAATTTAAGGTCATGGTTGAGATAAAAAGAGCAGGATTCGAACCCACAACCTTCAGCTAGAAGATTAGAATTTAAAATTTTACATTTATGTACTTTATTTCCCCCTATGTTAAAAAAAGTTTTTTAAAATGTTGTAGACATACAGGTAATGTAGTGATAAAATATTTTATTTTATTTCAATTGGAAGCGAGTATTCTATTCTCCCCATGTAAGTAAGACAAGTTGTAACAATTCTTTTTTATGTTTTGAATATCTAATCTTTCGCATTGACATATGTACCTCCCCAGCAGACCAGTCCATACTGGATATGTGATTGAACCAGGGCATAGTAAACCTTTAATGAAAGACCACTTTCACATTTGTTCCGCAAAAAATAAATTTTCCTCAGACCAAACTATATTTTTCTGGACTTTATCAATATAAGCATGCCGTTTTAATCTTCCGTTGATAATTGGTCACAAGTATTGTATATGGCTTATTTGTTTGATCTTAAAGCAATTGGCGCAAACTTGATTACAATCGCCTGTGAAACAATTAAATTTATTAATCCCCATTAGGTTGTACTGGGGCACTGGGCTGAAGCAAGAAAATTTTGATTTTGGACTCTGTCAGACAATTGTGCAAACCATTCACTAATTAGACACTCATATCTGCTTGCATTTGAATCTCTATGTCTGCCCAACTATTACCAGAGTACTGAATAGAAATGTCATCAACAAATGTGTGCCTTTAAATTTAGCAGCCTCCAGGTGGTCGTTTATATACATTAAAAAAACGGATCCTAACACAAAGCCCAGGAAACCATACTAACAGAGTTGAAATCACTTAATGCAACAGCCATTTGGACACTGCAAACGATCACATAAATTAAATATGATTATAAATTATAAATAATAAAATAATATATAAATTGTCGAATATTGCATAAGCCACACCTCAATTTTAAGTTATCTGTGCTGTTGTATTCTGCCCTGCTAAGAAGAAATGCTTTATCTCCAAATTTTTCATTTTTTACCATCGTATTCCAAGATACATTTCTTATTGAAACACACGATAAAATGAATGTGTCTAGAAATATTAAAAATATCTGTTTAAAATATTGATATGTTGTGTTAACAGCTTAAAACCTTTGAGGAAAATACTAGTGAAAAAACCATATTACTGAAATTTTACTGTTATCTTAATAAAAACTGCTTGTATTACTTAGGTAAAATTAAAACTTGTGTCACTTATGTTATTTTCCACTTGTTTTTAGTCATGAAAATTCATTTCCAGCATAAAACGCATCATTAGTGATTATATGCGTGGTATTGAATGTAGAAAATAAAAATTCAATAGCATTAATTTAAATACGTGATTCATTTGCGTTAATTTACTATTGCATTCTAAAAGAAACTATAATAAAAAAGCAATGTATGTTTGTAAAAAACCATTTTCTTTCTTTCAGATATGTTCTTTTTCTTTAGTAATTATCACAAATTTTTGGAACTTGAACTTAAGGTAATAAGATTTTTTGATTAAAAGAACATAAGAGATGGAATCTATAAATACGTTATAAATATTAATAATAAAAAAAGCCTTCAGGATTATAAAAAATATAAGTTAAGAGTGCTTGGCCAAAAATTTTAAAAAACATGGCAGCTTAATGCCATGAAATTTTTTTCAATTCCATTCAGCATGAAAAACCTCAAAGGTCAATTTATAAAAACTATCAGAACAATAGATACCGAATATCTTTTTGGCAGAGAACCTGAAATTTTGGTTTACAGTTCACTTTTGGGATATCTTTATGTTTCTTGGATTAAGAAAAAAAAGAAAAGAAAAAAGTAGGTTTGGAGATTTCGTACGCCGTATCATTGTGGGCTTTTAAAATACAGTAAAAAACAAAACAAAATCACTGCATTTCCCAAAAAGCTACCCAAAATAATACGAAAAATTATTATATTAAATATGCATATTACCTCCTCTAGCGTAATATAGGATCTTAAGTTTCCTAGGCGTAGAGTGAATATACAAATGGATTTTGTTTTTGAAACAGAATCCCATTTTTCTACAAGAGCGGTTTGAAGCTGTTCACGGCTTGTTAAAGGCAACAAATGATGTCTATCCCATCTCTTTAATATGTCCCATAAGTGTTTTATGGGGTTCAAATCAGGAAAACATTGTGGTAATCTCTACATCCTCCAAGTAATGGAGCTATTGCGGTTGAGCATTATAATGCTTTAACACAAAGTTGTCCACAATAAATAGAGCAAATGGGACCAAAGCTTCCAGAAGAACTTCCACAATGAATTTTAGTGAGTGAAAGATCCATTCTATTTGATAATCAGTTTGGAAAGGGCATGGGCTTTGATTCCACCCAACCGACTGTCTTTGAAAAGGTTGATACTCACACATGGTATACAAAGCATGTCTTCTCCAAACACAGACATAGTCATCTGATTGCCTCATGTGAACAGACCCCATTGTTCAACTGTTCAAGTGAGATGCTTATTTGTGCATAGTAGCTTTTCTACTCAATGCCTCTCTAGTAATTATTTTTAAAAATAAACAAATAAAAACAAGTGTTTGGTTGTTTAATTTTTGGGTGTATTCAAATTGTGTTATGTTTGTGAAGAACATAAGGCTTTAAATTTACTGATAATGTGCTAAGTAGCCAACCTGATTTGTAGTAATTTTTGGTTAGCTAAAAAAAAGTTTCAGTCAATTTTGTTTTTTAAACTTGAAAATGTCTTAATGCGTGTGTATATATTTTAAGAATATAAGTAGGACAGATGATTTATTTATTTTTTTAGTTTTTGACTATTTTTGTTTAATATAAAAGTTTATTTAGCTAAAGTTTCAGTAGTTTAATTTCTTCTTACAAATTCTAACAGGAAAAAGAAAAGTTGTATGTGAAATATTTGTGCGTTAATTTAAAAGCGTTTTGTTTTTAAATTGTTAGAAATTGACAATGATATGTTTTTATTTCTTAGTTCTAAATTATTTTATAGTATTATGTCAATCCACAGTAGAAATGAATGTCAGTATATCCAATTGTACAGTCAATGTTGACGATGATGATTATTACTATGCAAACACTGATTTGCTGCAAACAGAAGCAAACAAAGTACGAACGACTATTTATTATGTACCTTACATGGTGAGATTGTTAAAAAAGAGGAAAACTACATGTTCTGGCTCAATCATAAATGCGTCGTGGATCTTAACTGCAGCCCATTGCTTGCCACATTCAAGAAAGCTTGACAGTATTGAGGTAATTTCACTTTAGGCAGGCTTCCTTTTATTCCTACATTTGTTTTAAAAATAAAAAATGATAGAATGTCACACAAAATCATGGTATGATCCACTCAAATATTCAGAACAAAGTACATTAAACAGTGAAAATATTAACGTAATCTTATAATAAATCATCGAAGAAAAGTTAAGTGTGAAACAGAAAGGAACTTTATACAAAAGCCCAAATTCAGAAGATACTTAGCATATTCATATCCCTAGAAATTTTAATATTTATATAATAAAAATAAAATACTTATTTTTATTTGATGAACAAAGATAATGGCTGGTGTTGATGATGTGGAAGATTACAGGAAAGCACAATTTGCTATGGCAAAGCGAGTAATACAACATCCTAACTACATCCCTTCAAAAATTTCTAAGTACGACTTGGGGCTCATTGAGGTAAGAGAATAATGAAGTAACGGAAGAAATAAATCTCATTGCTTGATTAACAGTTGGTGGAACCACTCAACTTAAGCTCAACCGTGCAAGTTTTGCCTCTTACAAATAATTCTTGGCCGAGTACCGAACGTTTGTATTCGCAACCTTGTTTAGCTGCTGGATGGGGAACAGACAAAATTGTGCCTGGCGGTGTAAGAAAACTGAGAACGTTGAACGTTCTGGCAAAACATGGTGATGAAGCATGCAGTTGTTGGAGATCGTAAGCATTGAACACTGGTTTTAGAAAATTATACAAATAAGTTTTTTTCTCTCTCAGGTTTCACAATAGACGGTTAATCTGCTTGGCAGAGCCTGGAAAAGGTATCTGCCACGGTGATACTGGAGGTCCACTTGTTTGTGATGGTAAAGGTGTAGGAGTTGCACATGCACTTTATAGGCGTGATACGTGCCAAATGTTTCATGTTGGTCCAACTCCAGTAACATGCAAAGATTCTACCAGCACTTACATGTATTTATGCCCTGAACTTTCTTGGATTAAGCAGTACGTGAGCAATGTGCCTGAAACTCCATTAACCTGCAAGGGCACACAAACCATTTTCTATTTAAATGCCTTACTGACTGGAATAATTACTGTATTTGTAATAAACAAACCATATTAATTCTAATATGAAAATTTTTGTGGGCCTTTACTGAATTTGAAACTCTTTACAGGTGTTATTATGAAGAAAAACAACTGTATTTTTTCATTATAAAATATTGTAAAAGTTTGTGTTTTCATTCCTTAGAGAAGAAGGAACATAAAGATAATAAAGATAAGAACATAAGAATTAACATAAAGTAATTATATCATATCCAACTTTAACAATTACAGTATTGTCACTTTTGCAAATATAGTCATAAATAAATATTTCTGCTGTGCTCAAGTATTTTTTATATTTTAGGGATCTTTAAAAAATATAACAAGTATTAAATTCAGAACATCATGTCCAATTTATTTCATAATGATAGGTTGAACTGATTAAGGCTAGTAATTGTACTTGAAAGTAAAGGTAAAGCGACTTCACGTTCAATGTTTACATACAGTTTTTGGTGTAGTTAACACCTGATCTATTTATAGATACAACATTTTATAGTTTATAAGTAATGTTTTTATTTTCCATAATCGTTCAATTATTTCACCAATTACTGTTAGTCTATGCTTCAACAGAAGATGATTACAGTAATAAATATCAATATATTGCTAAAATTATTAATAATAAAAATGGTAAAGAGATTATCTGCTCTGGCACAGTCCTAACAGTTAAAAGGGTATTGACTGTAGCTGATTGCGTAAATGGCCAGCCACTTAATAATCCCAGCGTTGTGGCAAGTATAAATTTTACACTATGATGTTTATTATGGGAAATCAGTAATATTTTTGTAGGTGCAATACGGTTTGGGAAAAGGCGCTCAAAACAGTAGTGTTTTACGAATTCACTTCCATCATCATTTCACAGAGCAAAGTCCCATTTTGTGGCATATTTGCCTGTTAAAGGTTTGCTATAACAATATTGTAAAGTTACAATCAGAAAAATAACCATTTTCACTTTCAAAGCTTAAATACGATCTTCAATTTGGAGGAACAAACAGTTTAGGAAATTGGGTGAACATAACAAATGATATAAGAACATCAAAAGAAAGGATAAAAGTTACAGCTTTAAGTTTTGGAAGAAGAAGTGCCACAGACACATATGCAAAAATGACCAATATCCTGCACTTGTTGCTGACAGTAATGGATGGTCCATGTCCTTGCTTCACAAGGTATTAATCCTTCATGCAACTTCATATAAAATGGTTTTCCAAAAATAAAGTTCAAAAAGGCCATAATACCAAATTTTACTGAGACAAGAAATTGTCATATGTTGAATGTATATGATAAAGAAATATATTTTTCTATAGGGATGAAACGACACTAATTTATTGCAGTGAGAAACTGAAATTGAATGGACGATGTGGTGATGACTTTAGTGATGCCGGAGGGCCCGTTTTTAATAAAAATGCATTAGAAGGGATATTATATGCATTATACTCAGATGAACTGTGCTTACCGAACAGGATGGAAAAGACCCTAGCACCGTGCAATGCTAACGGATATGCCGTGATTATACCAATTTGTGTTCACAAAAAATGGATATCATCCAGGGTGCAGGTTAAACACATAAGTTTCGATGATTCTTGCGCCAAAGGAAATAATGTTAAAAAACCAAATGTTTTAAATATTATACTCTTTTTCCTCCAAAGCCTATTGATAAAATACTTATAAAAACAGACTCCAACTGTATTGTATTATTACTTCACAATTTTTGTATGTATAAACATTAGAAGCAGAAAAAGTAAAGCCAAATCAAACTGAAATGAACTATGTATAAATAAAAGTACAGTTGTAAGATGTCTTTTAAGTAAGGGAAACAAAATTCTGGTTGAAGTCTGAACTATCAAATTATAAAAGACAAAGTCATCCCAGAAGGTGCAAAATGTGTTGAGCCAATGTTGTTCAAAACAAAAACATAACAATTATGTTAGTTGTATTAATTAACTTATACTGCAAAAATATGTGCTCCTTGCACACTGGATATAATATATAAAAGTGGATAGAATAATAGTTAAGAGTTTAAGCATAAAAAACAATATCATCAACACTTCAGCACTAAATACACTACAAAAATAATAAAAGCTTATTTATATAATTTCTTATTCTTCTCCTGATTGTTCTTCCTTTTGATTGGTATCCAATTAATACAAATTCTACATTTACTCCTTTTTAAATTTCTTCATTCAATTGATTTTTGGAGACTCCATCTGCCTCCTCTCTTCAGTTTAAAGTGTTAGATGTATTGATCACTTTTTTACTCACAAATAATCTGGATCATGGTATGATCTTGATGAAAAGGCAAATTCAATCGTTATTCGCAAGCTTTCGACCTATTTTAAGGCCACCATCAGAGCAAAACAATCTTGAATATGTTTACACATTGACATATTTAAGTTTTTAATAGATGGTTTCAAATTTCTTTGATGACCGACTCAGTCCCTACATTGCCATAGAATGTAACACTATTGATTTGATGGAATTATTATTTTTTATTTTATTTTTTTTATTTTTTATTTTTTATTTTTTTTTTTACTGGGGCTTCCGACATCTAGGTCATTTCAGCCCCAAGCTAATCATTTATTAATGATGGAATTAATTCTTGGCAATATTGGAATTGAGTCAGTCAATATGTAGAAATATTTAAGATGGTTTTGCCCAGATGGTGACCTTAAAATAGGTTGAAAGCTTGGCAGTAACAATTTAATTTGTTTTCAACCCAGACCATACCATGATTCAGATTATTTATACCTAAAGGTGCGTAAACACTAAGCAAATCTCGGCCAATGAAAGACAACCAATAAACGCCGAATCATCCTCACCAAACCAAGGGATTTGGCCATGTGGAATTGCAGTCAACCACTTCGTTAGCTCTGATTCGCCTCCCGTACACATTAGGCAAATCATGTCAAAACAAAACAAAATATATGCCATAACATAAAATAACAGCATGGATAAAAACCGTCTTCTGTAGGTTGAAGCGACAACCATCAAAAAAATATAAATAAAAGTAAAATAATAATAATAATAATAATAATACAATCAAACTAATTTAAAAAGGACAAGGACTATTTATCATAATTGAATTCCCTAATTAGATCATGACAATATGATCAAGCATTTCGTGTGAATTTGATCAATTGCAGAATGTTCCTGCCATTAAGGAATTCAATTATCTGGATTCTGCTGAGCCTGCTGTGACCTGTATGGGGATATCTAAATTCCGAGAGGATGGGACATACACCCAAGAAATAGATAAAATCCTCCCTTTCTCTGAGGTTACAAAGAGCACAGAGGGATAACTCTCTTTCTCGCCACAGAGTGTGGTTAAGATAAAGCAACTCGCCTCTTAATTTAAAAAACCAGCTCAGCTCCATGGGGATAAAGATAATATAAAGATCTGTATTTCTTGAATTAAGGGACTGCAGGGTGGGGGGTACGGCAGATCTTTATGTAAAAGAAAACGGTTGGATTGTCGAGCCGACTGCACACACTCTTCCGGGTAACATTCATCCATCCTTTGACGTATGCCCATCAACTGAGCACACTGCTTATCCTGATCCTGAAAGTTAGTGACAAAAGGGCATGCGTACTTTTCCGCCAAATTAACACGATGCTTGAACCAGAATGTTTTTTTCTTGATAACCTCAATGGCTAGAGAATGATAAAGGCGGTGAACAGGCAGATTCAGTCTTGATGCAGTATCTAACATGGAGACCAAAGGTGAAAACATGAATCAGAGAGGTTGAAGTCTCAATTGAAACCATGTAATTTGGTGTTATGAGCCCAAACAACTTCTTGATAAAGAAACGAAATTTTCCTACCAAATACTGTCATTGAAACCCCCAACTCTGGGCACCATAGCACACAATTAAATAGCAAACCGCTTTGAATAAGCTATATTTGGTGAAAGGAGGGACTCTACCATTAATACTAAGGGCCTTCCAAAAACGGTATGTGCCTTAACAAGTTGTATATGAAGCCAATATTTTCCATATAAAAAACTGGATTTCTTGATTTATATTTCACAATGTGTTTTGATACATAAAACTTAATATAATTAGAAGTCTGAAGAAGGGAGGCAGATGGAGCCCTCCAAAATCGATTCAATGAAGAAATTTGGAATAGGAGTGGTTGTAACAATATTCTGTTAATTGGGCACTCATATAAATTAAAGAAACTTGTTTATCCTAAATAATAATTGTAAATATTCCATATTTGCTTATTGGTCATAATTTACCATGTTAATTATTCCAATTATTCTTTTTATCTAATGAAAAATTAGTGCCATGAGTGGGACTCGAACCCATGGTCTTCAATTCAATACACTCTGCCCTAACTACTTGAACTATCGTAACTTTGATCCCTCAGACACCAACTCCTCATTTAAACCGACAACCAATCAAATTTTCTCTCTTTTTGCCATATTTTCATTTTGGGTCGAATCCTATTGGCGACACTAATTTTTCATCTCAACCAAAAACCTCAGATAAAAAGAATAATTATATAATATAATTAGTAAATAAAAGTAGTAAGTAATAATATAATACAGTAATAAATAGCGTATAAATAGTACCAAAACATACAAATGTCATTACAAAAAGAAATTACATAACAAAATGTAAACTTCATGCATATAAGAATTACAATAAAAAATGTATAAGGCAAGTTTTATCATGGATATGTTTTAGGGCTGGATACAGAAGAAAAATCATATCGTTTTGCATGATCAAAAATGTGTTGCTGGGAAGTGAAGGGGGTTGGGTAGCTAAATTTACAAATTCACAGCCCAAAAATATATACAAAAAAATTTGCACGTGTGAAACGAGTTTTCGAAGGAAGAAAATCCTAAAGTGCAAACTTCTTAGCAAGGCACTTGAATATATTAAAACCAACATGACCGAGCGGTCGTGCAGGTTTAACATAAGCTTCGTATAGAAATGAATGATGGATGGAAGGAGTGCGGTGTTAAATTAAATTAAAGATAAAAGATAAAAAATTAGAATAATATAACAACTAATAATAAGAATAACAATTAAAATAATTAATTTAATTATTTGGACGTTTAATATTATTTATGTACATATTTAAAATGGGAGGTAGATCAAAATCTATTATATTATTAATGCATTTATCTCCATGTTCAATTTTACATTTTTTAATTTCAAATTTCTCAAACCAATCTAGTTCTCTCCCTTTGTTGAAACTATGTAACACTGTTGTATTTAAATTTGAATTGAAANATAACAATTAAAATAATTAATTTAATTATTTGGACGCTTAATATTATTTATGTACATATTTAAAATGGGAGGTAGATCAAAATCTATTATATTATTAATGCATTTATCTCCATGTTCAATTTTACATTTTTTAATTTCAAATTTCTCAAACCAATCTAGTTCTCTCCCTTTGTTGAAACTATGTAACACTGTTGTATTTAAATTTGAATTGAAATTATGTTGTGTTTCTTTTAGATGGTCCTTAAATTCCGAAAATTTGTTCAATTTAGGCAAGTGTTCATTTACTTTTGTTTTTATTTCTCTGCCGCTTTGTCCTATATATTTAATTTCACAATCAGTACAATTAAGTTGGTAAACCCCGCTTTTTGCCAAGTTGTATACCTCGTCTTTAGGTTTTGAGAGGATGTTTTTAAGTGAACCCGTACTTCTAAAAGCTATTCTAAAACCTTCTTGTTTAAAAATTTTACTAACTTTTTCCGATAATTCACCAATGTATGGCAAACAACAGAAACCTAATGATTCATTTATGGTGGGGTGGCTGAGTCCTATTGTTCATTCATTTAAAGTTAATTTTTTTATTCTTTTAACTAGCAACCTATCAATAAATATTTCTAGATAAACATTGTTTTTTTGGTAAGTTTTTAATAGTTTCTAATTCTTTTTTATAGTTAGCAGGTGTTAATGGAAGTTTTAACATTAATGAAACCAGCAGCCTTTTGGGACCATGGGTGGAAGAATGCGCTGGTATCAGTGTCTGTAGTTGTGGGTTTTCTATATATGTCTATTTCTATTAAGTTGTTTATTATGGACAATTTTAAGTCTGAAAAGTTCTAACAACCATCTTTGTTAATGTCCAATGTAAAATTTATATTACGGTGTAGAGAATTAATTAGTTGGAGGAATTTGTTGAGATCCTCTAGTGTTCCCAACCATAAGCATACAATATCATCTGCATAGCATTTCCAAAAATGAACAGATTTAATTAATTTGTTGTTTGATTTGAAAAGATTTTTTTCAAAATTATCCATGAATATTTCGGCGCAAAGTGGGGATAATGGAGACCTCATTGGTAACCCTTTCATTTCATAAAATTTATTATTGAATTTACAATAAATGCAAGAGGTCTATTATATCATTTTTTACAAATTCGTTAATAGAATTCTTGGTAAGTTTTTGCTTTATGAGTTTAGTACATTTGTGAATAAATTAGTAATGTCAAATGACACTAAAACACAGTTGTTGGGTATATTGATGTTATTTAATTCGAACGAATTGTTAATACCAAATGTAGTTTTGAAATTGGTGTGATTTTTAATTATTTTGTCAATTGTACTTGCAAGTTTATGGCATTGGGAATGATAAAAGGACATTACTGGTCTTATAGGTTTGTTTTCATTGAGAATTGTGACTGTACCGTATAACATTGGGGATTTTGGGTTCATTTTTCATATTGGTCAACGGAGTATAAAAAATCACTATTTTTTATGGATGTTTGAACTCTAGTTTTTAATTTTAAGGTGGGATCTTTTTGTATTTCTTTACACTCCTTATTATTTAGGAAATCCTCAACTTTAGAAACGTAATTTTGATGTTCAATGATAACTATACTATTTCTTTTATCGGCTTTTAAATTAACATTGTTATTAATTCTTAACTTTTTATCAATAGACCTAATTAATTGTATGTGGGATATTTAATTTTTTGACGGTTAAATTTACCGGTTTATCAATATGTTGTACGCATGGAGATAAATGCATTAATAATATTTATATTTCTAATTTTGTTATTATTACACATATTATTACTAGATTTTGATCCACCTCCTATTTTAAATATGCACATAAATAATATTAAAAGTCCAAATAATTATTTAATTATTATTTTTATAATAATTTAATAATATATATTAAGGTATTATTCTAATTTTTTATCTTTTATTTTTAATCACTAATCTATAATTAATTTCTTACAGTATTTAGTATTATAATATTTACTTGTGCTATAATTTTCGCACATTCAAATTGAGTGCCATTACAAAACCAGTTTCTCATTGGAACGTCTAAGCAAATCTTTTAAAAAATACCTGAATTATAGAAAATGTATAACTGAACAGGCACATACATAAATATATCAAAATTTCAAATTGTGCCACATTTTCTGTGGTGCAGTGTATTTCGGTAAAACTGTTTAATCAAATAAATTTTTATACATTCCCTGTACAATGTATCTTTATTGAACATAACACATTCCAAAAATTAACTATCTAAGTTTAATAAAGTAGTTGTTCAGTAATGCTTGATATTTTGTATGTACGTATGTACAAAAAAAGTTGTAATTTATTAATTTTTATCTTGTACTGAAATGTCATTTTCAATTCACCAATATATAAAAGAATTCATTGATTCTGGTTTTAATGTTAGATAAAGATTTCCTCTTTCAACATCAATTACTGTAACGTTGGCATCATGTTTATGTCTGAAATACAATTGACACATCAATTTGATGGATATATTAACATTTTCATTCTAAACAAATTACCCATTTAATAGAAATATGGATTTGCTCCCATCTTTGTTCTGTACCGCCACGCCGTGGATACCTTTTGGAATGGAGATCGGAACTGGATCAACAGGTGTAGGCCATGGAGGTACAGCTCGCTTCCTTCTGGTCCGAGTTGGCGTCTTTTCTTGCAAGCTTATCACAACAGAGTCTTCATCGGTGAATGCAGAAAAATGACCGAGCATATAATACATAGGCTGCTTATAAAATACGTCTTTCTCCTTGTCAATGAGAATTGGTGCATCGCAATTTTGTCCGATGTAACTTGGGCCTCCAGTCATGTCCAGAGCCATATTCCAGTCTATCCATCCAATAGACCAGTGGTTTAGATTCTAGTTTTCCAATAAAACATAATTGTGATGTGAGTGATTAAACAATGTACAATGTACCTCGATTATATTGTAAGCGTACAAAGCTCCTCTCATCCATGACCCTAAATTAATCACATCATCAGCTGAAAAACATTAATTGTGACATTATTTATGATGAACAGTCAACTAAATTAACTTCAATTACAAATTGCTTTGTTTATACTGCTTTCAGTGTATAAAACAAACTTGTCAGGAAACTTTCTATTAACTTCATCTATCATCTCTGGTGAGGTATGGCTGTCAAAATACCAGTGGAGAGCAATCCCTGAAGTATACTTTGCAGCTTCTTTATCTAACATGACCTGAAGACAAAAATTTTCACAAAAAATAATTGAATTAAAAAAAAAAAAGTTGTTAACCTACAATGTCCATCCACCAAGATATATATTTTCTCTGATCGTCTAAAGTCATTATTTTGATATCTCTAAAGCCTCTAGTTTCCAAGGAAGGCCCAAAGAAATGCCCTATCCATTTTCTCTGTTGTTCAGGCAACATTATAACGTTGTTTATACTGAAATGTATAGCCAATCCAGTCAGGGGTTCGTTCACAGCCGTGATACCCCAAAATTGTATATTCCTCTTTTTATACTCTTCTAGAAAGCTGCAATTCGCTTTGAAAAATTGGTTAACACAATTTTACAATATACTCGACTCACCGTATTTGGTAATCAGCATAAACCTGGTAATACTCGTCTTTCAAATAGGATGAATTCGATGTCGTTTTTACTTTCATCCAGTCTGGAGGAGCCCAGTTGCTAGCGATCAAGTTTATCTTCTTCTTTGCCAGAATTTGTGCACGTTTTATCAAAGGTATCTGGATATTATTACTCTTAACATATCGCAAATGGTTTTACATCGATTTTATACCTTATAGACAAAATCCTCATCGGCAAGTTTAAAATGCTTTAGCTCCATATCATCCTCTGTGTTGTCATAATTATAAGCTTTTTGAGAAAAGTCCGTGCCACCAATTGGAACCCGACAAAGCCTGTACCTTAGACCATCTTGGCCAAAATAAGATCTTGAAAACGTATGACAAAAATGATCAGCAACCAAATTTTAGGTTCAACAACTCGTAGGCAATACAGAGAAATCTCACAATATATGTTGAGAGATTTTAAAGAAATATGTTTTTCTACCTTAGGAGGGAGTCTTGACTTTTTTCGCTTAAGCTTAAGACATTAAGTCCAAAAGCGTCTGTAAAAGTGCCACCAAAACCTCTTAACTCTTGTAAAACGATTGTTGAGTTTACAATAAAAACAGTTCCTATAAATATAAAAAGCTTAGAGACGGAATTTAAAAGTGAACGTGCTAAATATTTACCGTTATTCAAAAGCTTTTCCGTATTGCTGAATTTTACGATATCAGCGTTAAAGCCTGGTCGGCTGTTGGAAGTCATTATGCTATGGGCATATTTATTTGGCAACTTAGGTGTTTCTGGAGTTGTATCGCAATAAACCGAGTCACAAACACAAAGAAATCCATTGTCTGTTTCTTTAGCTTTACAATTGAGAAAGCTCAAAACTGAAAAACGTTTTCATTATGGATTATTTTCGAGGTAAATATTTTCTTATTTACATACCTTGAGAAAATAGTGACAATAAAATTGTATTCAAGAGAAAATTCATTCCTATTTTAATACAAACGTTCACAATGAAGTATAATTTTGAATACAATTTCCACCTTCGAGATAAACCCTTTCTTTATCTCAAGATAAACAGCAATTTCAGTTTAATTAAAATCACTATTTATTTGAAAAGTATTTTTCAATAATAGTTAAAAAAAAAGTGTAATTAGAAGAGAAGTGAAATATCCTTATTTATTCAATGATTAGGGTAAAAAAGTACAATAAAAACTAGAGATATTTGTACTTTATTTTACAAAAGTATTTCTTTGTATGTATATTAAGTGTTTCTTGATTATTTTATTTATCCATTGTTCTAATAAAAGTTGTTACTACAGAAGCAAATAAATTTTTCTCTCCTTTTTCAAAAAGTGAAAATTTCGGTAAAACACTAACCTCTCAAAGCATTTTGACACAGTTTCAGTTTTATGAAAATATATATTTTTTTGTCAATTAAAGTTAGAAACTGAAAAAAAAAGAAATCCAAAAACACTTAGCTCAGTTAAAAATTTAATTGAGTTATCCCTTTAAAAATATTACAACACACTTTTGTTTTGCAAAAAAATATATTTAATATACTATTAATAATGGATTAATAATTTATAATAATTAATTTGGTTACATATAATCATACAATTTATATTTATTTCTTAAACGCATTACTTTATAGGATTAAAGCCAGTTGTTATGAAAATTGAGCAGTGCTAGAGGAGGGAATTTACAAATAAGTTCAAAATACAGTCATAACTTAACCAATTGTTCACACATTTAAATAATTTGTACAAATGTACAAAAATATACTTCGAAATGTTCATTCTTTCCAAATTCCAATCACAATAGCCTACAAATCAGCATTAATTTAAATTGACTAACATAATTCTTAGTTTTGTTCACTGCTAATACATCATCTCTTGCTTTATAATGAATAACGCCTTTCCCTTTATAAATCCGATTCTTTACCACTTACTTATAATACGTAACTAAATAAATATAAGAATAATACCAATTCATAAACTTTTAAAAAGGACATCTTCAATTATTTGTAATAAGTGCAATAATAAATATATGGTGTCATCCACAGATGTCCTGTTTAACAGTTCATAACATAATAACATTTAATTGACAACATAAATTAACAAATTAATAAAATAGAACTTTTGCTGGAATTCACAAAACCTGTGTGAACCAAATAAGTTAGAGCCTCAGAAATATAACATGAGGCGAAATAAAGGAAAACGTGACATCTGAGAAAACCCTGATCTAAATTATTTACTTTTATACGAAAAATTACAAAACAAGATTAATTACATTTGGTTTTTACATTTTTTTAAATATTGAAGCTGGTGTTTTTAATTATATAAAAAATTAGACATTATAAACATGAGATTGAGTTTCATATTAACCAAAAATTATCTAGCAATTTCTCTCAATTTTTAAAATGAACAGTAACAATAATAGTTACAATATAAATTTGAAGTTACCTCAGATGTCATTTTAATACAAAAAGTTTAATACTATAACTTTCATATAGTTAACAAAAATAAAAAAGAAAGAAAACAACCTTTTAAGGGTCTTCCATAAATTTATCAATCACCACTGCTCCTACAATAACATCAGATATAATGATTTTCAAGATGTCAGTGATAAGCTAAAATTTTATTTTCTAAACTGTATTTTGTCCGGAGTACTGGTATCACCTTGAAAATGCACTAAGCTTATTTACAACACGTGTAAAAATTTACAACTACTTTCACTTCAAATGTTTTATTTAAGCTCAATAGTGGACGATTGATGAATGAATTTTAATTTGGTGTGAACAGGTAAATAAATCTAAAAGAATTTAAATCTCAAGGGAAAAGGAAAGATAGGAAAACCGAAGATAAATCTAAATATTAAAAAATTGGAAAAATACTATTTACATTTTTATCTATTTTCCCTTCAATAATACTGAGAAGACAAAATAATGTAGAGAAGCGTCTAAAGAATTTTTATTTGAAGGTTGGATGATTTTTGTATAAAAGAAAAAATGTAACAACATAATAATATAGTTAAAACAATTAATGATTGTACACCATATTCATTTAATAAAAATATTCTGGTATTTAAATTGTTTTATTACAAATAAATTCACCCCATAAAACCAGTTAAATTGTGAATCTGTAAAAATAAAAAAAGCAAACTGTTAGTTTCAATAAATTTTTCTTTAAAAACTTAAAGTGATGAGGTTAAAATTTCAGTCAGCTTAGCACCAGAGTTTTTCACTGCTTTTATTCTCATATATATATTTTTTTAATATATGTTATATACACTAAACTTTGTAAAACAACTACTTGAAAACTATTTTTATTTACGAAAAACTTCCAGTTAATTTTGATGTATCAAAGTATGAGAAAATGTTGAATCACACGATTGATTACCTATGATAAAAAAGGGTTTGGCTGAGGCACCATTGGTTGTACAATGCCCTGCGAAGTTGCAGGATAAGGCGCTCGCATTGGCTGCAGCGGTGTGAGTGGTGAGAACGGGTTGGCTGCAACTGTGCGAGGTGGCTGCGGAGTTTGCAAAGGAGTCGGCGTGACAGGTTTGGTGACAAGGTTGTCTAAGTTGACAAGTGCTGAGTTCTCCCCTAGAAAACTGTGTGGGCTGCGCTTTACCATTGTCGATGTGCTCTCTTCAAGGCCGTCTCCGAGATCTTTCATATCAAATGGGTTAGGACTGCCACCTGAATGATATATAGGTTAATTTTACAGGTTATAGTTAAATTTTTGTTTGACCTAATTACCAGACTTATTGTTGTTAATATTGTTTCTATCTCTATTTGAAATTATATCAAATTCATCTAGGTCCGTGTTGCTCGGTGATGAGAGCGATATAGCTGGGCTTGGCTCCGTTGCCGGTGACCATGGGTCATTCTGCTTTAATGGAGTTGGGGAATGAGCTTTCCATGGATTATTCGGCTGCACTGGTACTGCTGTAAAAATAATATTGTCATTTTACTTCTATACTTTATTTATTTTGTGTAGAGATTAGTGACCGTTAATCGATAGTTATTCAGATATCGTGAGATGCGGTCGGGTAGGTTTCAGAAAAACATTTTCTTTATCGTGCCAACGTTTCAATCTTTTATTGAGATCATCTTCAGGGCCTGGGATTTACAAACAATGTTTACATTTAACAATTACATTTAGGATGTGGAAAAGTGAATTTATACAATGCAAAATATAAAGAAGATGATCTCAATAAAAGATCGAAACGTTGGCACGTTAAAGAAAATGTTTTTTCTGAAACCTACCCGACCGCATCTCACGATATCTGAATAACTTTATTTATTTTTTTAAATTAATAAATTACATGGCTTTGACTGCACTGGCATCACTGGTATAGGTGACCATGGATCTGAATGGTTGGTTGTTGTGGATGAAGAAACACTCCATGGATCAGCCTGAAATGGAAAACAAAAAGTTTACACAATTTATTATAATTATATATTTTGGGTAGAAACATATAAAAATGCAATTAATTTTCAATTACATAAACTTTAGGACAATATAATTAAGTTTAACGTCAAAAATTTAGCACAACTCTACAATAAAGAGCAAATATTTTCGTATTTCTGCAGTGGGGTGGTATAAACCCGATATGAAATGCTACTTTTTTATATGTTAGAATTTCTGCTCATTTATTTTAACAACAAAGCATTGGTGTATAATTAAAAAAATTACAGAGGAAAAGGGTTAGCTTCTAACGTGAAGACTGAAAAACGTATCTTTCAAATTGTAACGAAATAACTCGCTCTATTTTTAATTAAATTAAAATAAACCACAAAATACTACATAATTTGTACACAAATAATGATAAAATTATATAAAAACTAGAGTAGGAGTGTTATCATTAACGTATTTAAGTACTTTTGGTCACTTTTTTTTAAGTTAATATGTAATATAAAATAATAATTTTTAATGCAATTTTTATTTTTATTTTGTTGTTTTGGTACTAATAGTTATTAATGTTTTTACATTTTGTCAATAATCTTTTTATACTACACTATTTATCAGTTTTAACATTTCTAGCCCTGGCTGTTTCAGGCCAAGGCCTGATTTGAAATGTTAAAATTGTGATTTAAACAACTGTGATACATAGTTTGTTATAAAAATATTGTTGAAAAAGTGCAAAAAAGTAATAACTTTAAAAATAATAAAATGCTGAAAGATGATTAACAATGTTATACATTGGCAGGCTAACAATTATTTTACAGGCATTGCATAACTGTTATTTTTATCAATAGAAATTATATTTGTCTTTGCACACAAGCAAGCTTAAAATGTTCAAATTTCAATTCAAATTCAAACATTGCATCTATTTCTGAACACATGAAAATTAGTGAAAAAATTTTGTAAGATACACACAGGAAATAAACCCAAACTATGGTAATAATTTACTTTTACATGTAAAGCAAATGTGAACGAACTAATGTCAATGTTCTCCATACTAATTTACAATTTAGTACTAGTTAAAAAATTATTTCATGGAATGAACAGGAGATTGCAATGTACAAAAATGACTGTACTCTAAAGTTATATTTAAAACTCAAGCTAATTTCATTTTTGGCCTATTCATACTAATGCTTACCGCTGGCCAATATGAAAGATTCAGGTTCAACGTCTGTCGAAAGAGAAGTTGAATAATAAAATTGAATAGTGAATTACTGGAACTGGACAAAGTTTTTGTTATTCAACAATCTCACCTGAGGCCTCGGAGGCGGTAAAGGTACTGCCCACGGATCCTGAATTGGTAAGTTGTTCGCAGGAGGCAATTCCGGCGGAGTCAAATTGACGTCGAGCAGGTCCAGCATATGACTCCCTGATTTCGTACCACTGTCAACACTGTTTTGTCTAAACATAATTAATATTATCTCGTATAAACCATTCACTCATAATATTTAAAAACTTTTGAAAGCGTTAGTTTGAAATTGGGAAAAAGACAATTAAGAACTAGTTTGAGAAAAAAATTAAAGGATTTCATGACTCAAAATGATTAATTATTAAATTAAAATATGCAAAATGCAACACTTTAATCTAATTACAATGTAGACAATAACTTTATTTGGTTAATAAAATTTATTGTTTCAATAATTTCAAATACTATTTTGTGAATAAAATTAAAACTGAAATCATAAGCTTCATCTATTCTTTCAAAATAATTATACTTTTTTCTTTCTTTTTTTGAACACACATACATACTTAAAAAATTAAAAATTATAAAATGACAAACATTCAGTACTCTCTCTCCCTATTATTTTCATTTTTTGTTCTAATAAGAATACCCCCATTAATAACCTTTTCTGGTGTAAAAAAAGGTATTAAATAAACAGAATAAATAATTTTATTTGGTATAATGTGAACACAGATGACTAGCTGTCATCTGGTGCTTTTGTATAATTGATAATAAACTCAATAATCAGATTGGCCGGAATGTACATGTACACAAGACGCATTCAGTCAAACATTTTTTTTATTCAACTGACATACATACCTGAATTCGTTTTGACTCTGAGAAATCGCTAATTGCAATCTGACATCATCACTTCTACGTTTTTGTTCTTCTTGTTCTGCTTCTTCCCTGGACATGGCTAGAGCCAATTGAAGCTGCAGTTCTTCTTCGCCAGCTGTGGTTGGTCTTGCGCACATAATATCTACTTTGTTCGGTGCTTCCATATCGCCAGATCCCCAGGCTCTCGACTGAAAACTCGGACTTGAAGGAGATGTGGCATCGAGCGTCATGTCCGAGCCGAAGCCCGAGGCAGTTTGGGCAAGCCTCTCCTTCGCTTTAAGAGCTCGAGCCCTTTCATTCTTGAGGCGTTCTTCATCCCTGAGGAGGATTACAAGCTGCTTCGCTTTCTCGCGCACGTTGACCCCCTGATCCTTCCCTTCATCAGTATGCTGGAAGTCTCTTAAAGTCTGAATGGCAAAGATGTTCTCTTTACACTGTTGGCCGACTTTCTCAGACCCAGTCTTAATGAGATATTCGAGGAGAAGGAGAGCCTTGTAAACGTGTCGCCAATTACGCCCATGATCGTTGAGACGCTTCCAGATCATCTGCATAATCTCAGTAAATGCCACCACATTATATGTCAAGTCGGCAATTTCCGTCATCAAAGTACTGCTCGGTCCCCAGGGATCATTGCTTGTCGCCTCTCTCACTTTTACCTATAAACGTGTAATTTTTAATCAAAAGCAGCCAAGTTCAAAAGAAAAATAGTTAAGTGAAAAAAACTAAGGGACACTCGTTTCAGTCGAATGCCACTTAATTAATTAACAATCAACCTAATAGCTAAACATTTTCAGGATCGACAAAGGTGTGATAACACCAAGGAATATTTTCACATAAAATACCAATAAAATTTTTGTTTGAAATAAAAACTATAATTCATACCTGAGCATCTGAATAATTGTGAGCTAGGTTTTTAATGTTACGTCTAAGCCCTGCCACGTTGACTTGCATATCTTCTTTCTTCCGCATCTGGAGAAAAAAATTATAAATAGTTGTAAAACTAGGAATTGAGGATGTGAAGAGTGCAACATCCTCTGCACAATGGTTCCTTGTTAGCCATGAAATTGCAATTCTCCACTACATTCAACATACCAAAAATCACGGATTTATAACCACATAACATCCTATGTGATGGCCTTTTTGAAAATGACTTTGTTTGACGAAGCACTACAAAATGTTCTATTTTAGATCATTGAATAATCCAATTTTGTCTAAGACAAAATCCGTGGCTTTGCATAGACCATCAAGAACACAATATGTACGTCAGATAAAATTAGAAAAATGAGGTTTCATTATAAATACTATTGATCATTGGATCCTAAGATAACTTCACTTAAAAACAGGATTACTAATTATTATTTAAACACCAAAAGATTTTAAACAATTGAAATGTCAGTACATTGTAACTTACAAAAACCCAATTTATGACTTTTCTAATTTTCATCACACAAGTTTGATCTTGAAGGTACTCTAGTTGAGAAAACTGAAACGAACTGTGAAACGAATAAGAATTTTTAAAAAAATATTTGATGTCATGTGACTATGAGAATCTGAAGTTGTGCAAATGTGATAAATATTATGAAAATATTAAATGTTTGTTATAAAATTCAAGCAAAACTTTCAATATAAAAACAACTATAAATAAATGTATGCTTATAAGTTACAAAGAACAGCTGTAAATAAAGATATCTGTGCTCATGGTTTATTGAGTTTTACAAGCAGGGCATTGTTTCATATTTTTATGGAAAGAAGCTTGCAATATTATTCATCAAAAAATTATTAGCAGTAACAGACAACACAGATTGGTTGTGATCAAAATAACAGTTAACAAATTTTTAATATGGTTCTGTACATTCTTTAGCACAAATCTATTCCTAAAAATCATATGTAGAGGAAAACTTGCCAAAACATCTTTCTAATTAAGTTTCATAAAAGGTTGAAAGGTAGACGTGCAAAAAAAAATCTGCAGGGAGTTTGTGACGAACTGTTTAATAACATAATTTAATTAAATCCTTATAAATTTATAGAATTTGGTGAATTATAATTAAAACACAATGTTGAAAGAATAAATTCAGATATTTTTGTTTAAAAAAAAAAAGCAGTTTTATAAGGGGTCATTTTCCTTAATAATTTATAACTGTTTTGGCAGTGGTTTGCACAAAATCGATCACAATCCGATTCTGTCATACATGTACATGTGTTTAATATTTGTTGGTGAAGTTGGGCTTTTGATTGATGAGATAATTTTTTTGACGGGGGTATACAACAGCAGGGGTCAATATCAATCCCCAGGTACTGATAGTTTTGAGAGGGAAAAAAAGGTGCATTTGTATGTAATCTAGAGGACGTGAATTAAAACCATGGACCTTTTACATTACAGTGATGAGTTTTGTGAGAATATTGTTGTTAGTAATGGACAGTGTAAAATTGTGTTTGAGAGGGGAATAATTGCACAAAGTAGAATGTGTTACAACTCAGAAATTTTGAACCTTTTTTTTTTTTTTTTAAACATCCTAGAAATATGCAGAAATGAAATTATATGGAATTGATGTACAAATTACAAAATATGAGAGTATTTTAATAGGATTGGTCAAGTGTGGGTTGGCTAAAAGCACCAACAGACATTTATCCTAATTGTGTCTCTACGAATACCATACCTTCCGATAAGTTCCAGGATGGAACTTATTTTATAATTAAAAAATTCAGATGAGCTTATTCACGATAATCACTAAAGGTTGGAGTACACTACGGAAGAAAGCCCACCAATTAAATGAGTTTACAATGGTGTTTAGTTGTGGCTTCCCACAAGAATAGCTTATTGATTGATAGAAGCTATAAGTTTGCTTAAATTTTTTAAAAATTCAATCTACCTTGATAAGGAATGTGTTTAATTAATGATTTCCTTCTTATCAATGAGATTTCTTCTAAAATACAAAATACAGTGAAAAAATGATTAGAGGTGGATTAAGAATTGTTGTGATGTAATAATAAAAAGTTTGCCATAAAAGAAAAATTGGAAATTTTATGTGATAACTCTCCAACAACAGGTCAACAGTGTTATTCTACATAAAGATAAGTAATTTCTATCACAGAAGAGGGCTTAACATCCAACAACCCTTTTTAAGTGTAAAGGATGAGGGAGTCAAGCCACTTTACAATATTATCTTAACCTTTCAATCTATCAATTAAAATTCCATTGGTCTGTGCTGGGATTGGAACCCAGAACTGTTAGTGTGACAAATATGGGCCATGCATGCCAACCTCTTAGTCACTGTGATCCCCCTGATAATTATTACATTAATGTTTTACAAGTATTGTCTAATAAAATTAATTGAACATATTGACCCATTTATCAGCAAGGAATGGCCCTTCAATTGGAATACATCAAATATCAAGCAATCTTTCTCTGCTGGACACATATCCAATCTCTGGCTGAAAAGTAAGTATGTGTCCATTTCACATGGCCTATCTTTAATCAGGTGAAGATGACCCTTCTTCTACGAGTCATATCCTCTGAGGGCCACATATTGAGAGTGCTCTTGACACTTGAAAACTTCTATGCCGATCCAGTCCACTAATACTGCCACTTTCTTAGAGTTATTAAAAATATTCTTTAATATTGTAAAACGGTTAAAATTTTCATTTCTAATATAAATATTTATATTTTCCATATTAAATTTTATTTTAAGATTAATTAAGGCTTTTAGTTGAGCTGAAAAAAAGTTAATGGCACGAGAGGGATTCGAACCCACGACCTTCGGCTAGATATGCCGCTGCTCTACCACCTGAGCTATCGTGACCTCGATCCACTCGGACATCAACTCCCCATCTCAGGGAAAACTCATAAGGTGGGGTTGAGATGGGGAGTTGATGTCCAAGTGGATCGAGGTCACGATAGCTCAGGTGGTAGAGCAGCGGCGTATCTAGCCGAAGGTCGTGGGTTCGAATCCCTCTCGTGCCATTAACTATTTTTCAGCTCAACTAAAAATCTTAATTAATTGTAAAGTATTAATTGGTCAAGCGGACCACGAAATTAGTGAATTTTATTTTAAGGTTTCACTCAAGTATATATAATGTTTTGTGAAAATATATTACAGGCAATAAAGTTGATTTGGAAGAACAAGAAGGTGAAATTATAAGGGTTGAATGTGTTGTAATAAAATAATTATGAAATTATTACTTTTAAAAAAATCATAACAAACGTCAATACAAAAGCTATAAAAAAGCAAAAATGTGCAGTTATTCTGGTTTTATAAGTATTAGCTGGTCACAGTTAAAACTCAATTGGATAGTATAAAATTAGAAGAAAAAATTAGTTAAAAATAAAAAGTTAAAAGCTCTCATGCTTCATTGCACATTCTCTTACACATACCTATGTGTGCCCAGGTTGGCAAAAAAAACACTACTCCTCTTACTTTTACCTCAAACCTACAATAACACCACTTTTAAATATGAAATTTTAAGTGAATTAAATAACACACAATAGACAATCAAAACCTATTGTGAGTACACCAATTATTAAGTTAGCTATGTTTACTCATCACTGACAAAGAGCAAAGGAAAAAAGTAAATCCCGTTTTACCAGAAGCAACAGAAAATATAATATGCTTTTCATCAAGACTTGGAAATATAACTTTGCTTGTCTACTTCTAATAATCAACTAATTTACATGGTTATGACCCTAAAATATTAAGGAAATTATCTATTTAATGTATTTTATGGTTTAATTATTCAGAAATCGTGATATGCGGTTTGGTTTCGATTTTTTTTTTTTAATAAAAAGTAAATACATTACTTATTTCATATTAATTTATGTCGTGTTAACTTTATGTAAAGTGTTAGTTAATATTTTCCAACTGAGCAAATTTAAGCTTATTAAAAGAACTAAATTGTGTACTTTAGTAGCTAAATATTATGTTACATTTTATTGTTACTACATTTAGATATAAAATAAATGAGAATCAAAAGATATAATCTAATTAGAATAAGAGAAGAATTGTAGTAATGAACAGTGGCTAAAATTACTTAAAGTCTAAGTTAAAATCAATGGACTGTAAAGACATTTTGTTGTAAGGATCGATAGTTAATGCTTTCTCTTTTTTCCAACGTGACAAGTACTGAGTAGAGATACAAATTGGAATCATGTAGAGTCACTTTGTCCACGCCTTATCTGATTATTTCTACGTTTAACATTGACTCTAGCAAGGAGACTTTCTTGTTATCATCTACATTCCAAGTATATTAATCATGCTGTTCCACGTTCTACACTGATACAAAATAAGATTTAATAATTCAAGGCCTGAAAAGAATGAAGTTTATGTCGCATGCGTTTTGGCAAAATTTGGCCAAACCACAGAATTAAAAAGGCAAGGATGATGACGATTTATGAAATTATAAAAAGAAGTTATGTATCAAATCTAGGCAAAAATGTTTTGTTAGAAAACGTATGCCCTATTAAGAACTAATTAAAATATTTTTAACTGCTCTCCATGTCTTGATTTTTTTTTTAATAAATTATTTTTGTCGTATTACTCACTTAAATGTTCATGAATTTTAATTATAAACTAATAGCATATAATACAGTTACATATAATAGAAAAACACAAGTGGTCAATTTTAAAAAAACATTTATTTAAAAATAATCCAGAAGTGGTTGTTTGTAGCTCAATTCTCCCATCATTAAAATTCATTGCTCAGTTGTTTTTTTCTCATTCAACTTGTTTATTATTAATTTGCATACTTAAAAACTAATTACACTATTACTAGCGTGAATTTTGTATAAATAAGAAAAAATCTGTTAAAAAAAATATATATATAAAAAAAAAAGCTTTTTTCGGCACTAAAACCNAAAAAAAAAAAAAAAAAAAAAAAAAGCTATATGGATGTCAATCCAGTGTGCAGATCTTAGTCTATCTGTATACATCAAGTATACAGTACTAGTATGGTACGTAGAAGTAGAAGTAACAAGAATGAATGAGAAGAATTAGAACCAATTTTACTGTGGTTTTATTCTGCTTCTTTGATAGTACACAATAAGAAAATTAGCAACATTCTGTTTTATAGTTTGTGTAACAATTTTTTTAATGAAATGTGTAAAACGAAAATAGTGTATTTCGTTTCAAGCATGGGCAAACAACTAAAAAAATATGTCTTTTTAAATTTTATAAATAGTTTTAATTTTTTTGTAAATACAAATAAAATTAAATGTAGACTCCTGTTTTAACAGTTTTTAATCCCATTTTGAAAATTGGTCCCAAGGACATCATGTTTGAAATAAATTCAATCTGTCACACTATGAGTAAAGGGTTGTGAAATCAAGAAAATGTACATTTTATCAATGTAGATTTTGTATCTAGCGTTTAATCAAAACTGTTCTATCTCAATGTATTTGAAAAAGTGTTTTGTATAGTGAAGGGATTTAAAGATTACCACAATGAGAAACAAGAATACATTTTGATCCTTACGAAAGTTTTCTTGTTTTGTACACTGCATGTGTACCTCATTATGAAATAAATAATTAGCAATTTCAACTGGTTTTGCATCAAGGCACAAGAGTGCGATAAATTGTGACGATTTCTAGGGTCTGACATGTCATGGGAAAATGCTGAATGCACAGTTCAACAAGGATAGAAGAATTCAAACATCAACATTTCCTATCTCTGTGTAAGATTTTATCATACACCTTTGACAGTACACTGATAAGAAAAAAACTTTTATATCGATACTTAAGGATAAGACAAGTCAGATTGACCTTTCCAAATGTATTTAATCTTTGCTAGAGGTGACCAAATAAGAAACAATACTAGATTGAGTAATTCGTACAATTTATGGCAGTTTTGTGTTAAGGTAAGTACAAGAGTGGACTTTCTAAAGGGGTGATTATAAATTGCGCTAATGTTATGTTTACCTAATGACTGAGCTTCATTAAAATATCTTTCAGTAATTTAAGTTCTGCCAAGTAGTCAAAACAAGTGGGTTGCAACTTCTGCAATGTGGATCTAGAACACAAGAAGGACAGGGTAGGAGTGTAAGGACCTGGAAAATACTCAGAGCCCATAGGAAAATATATAACTATATTTCCAGGGTGAAGTCCATGCAATTGAGAGATGTACTCAGTTCATTCTGAACAAAGAGTAAAAACAAGACTGTAACTATTATGTCAGATATGTCACTAGGCAGTCATCAGATCACTAAGCTCAAACATCATTAGCTTGAAAATGGTGCTTAATGGCAAAACTGAACTAAACAAATTATGTTTGTAAAATGAAGTTACTCTTTGCTGGGTTCTAGGGCATGTAGGAGTAGAGGGAAACGAGAATAGGGACACCTTGCAAGGGAGGGGGGAGCTATACTGTTGATGGTCCTGATAGGCGTAGGGATTCACACTATCAAATATTATACAAAAAAAATGAGGAAACAGCTGAACTCACGAATTCACTCACTGGGCACAAACAATCCTAGATCTTAGCAAGTTTTGGAAGGAAATGAGAAACAGAATGCATTAAAGGAAGCTGGAAAAAACTTCTGATCCTAACTGGACACTACAGACTGAATAGGCATATGAAAAAGATCAGTATAATCCAATGCAACACATGCAGATTCCTCAAGGAAGTAGAAGAGCACAACTAACTCAGGGCATTGTATGTGTACGTATATGGGGGAAAATTGATGGGTGACCATTATGAGAAACAAAAATTAGCAATTGGACAGCCTTCATTTATGCGTTTTTTGACAAACTACATGTATATTATTTCATTGTATGTATGTATATTTTATGTAAACAATTTATAGAATACACTATTTATGGAGTTTTGTGTCAAGATATATATACAAGATTAAACTTTATTATGTGTTTGGAATTCTTAAAAATGTGCAATGAATTGTGACTGTTTCTAGGGTCTGCCACATCATAGAAAAATGCTGAATGCCTAGATTGCAACAGTCCAAGGTGAAGGAACCTGAACCGGCATTGGGTCACTTATTGTGCCCGACTTCACTCTTGGATTTGATTCAACAAACCCACAAGTTAAGACGGACCCAATAAGTGACCCAATGCTGGTTCAGCACGAGTTCACTGACTCGCAGACAACACATAGCATCAACTCTACGGATAGGAGAATCCAAACATTAAAATTTCCTATCACTTTGTAAGCAATTTTACCAGTCACCTTTGAAAGTAGACTGATAAGAAAAAAGCACAACTTTTATACTGATACTAAAAGTTAAGACAAGTCTGGTAGACCTTACCAAATGTATTTAATCAACGCCGACATGTATGGTATGTGCCATTTTATAACTTGTACTATTTTATTTAATATTAATGATTGAGTTGTGTATGTTTGTATGTGGGAGAATTTATAAGTGATCATTATGAGAAAGCAAAATCTTTACTGATAATGACTTTCTTGTTATATGCGTGGTAATATTATTATATAATATGTAGGTATATTTTATGTAAACAATTCATAAACACATTTATGGAGTTTTGTGTCAACATACATCCAAGATTGGACTTTATAAAATGTCTACAATAGTTAAAAATGTACGATGAATTGCAACAATTTCTGAGGTCTGCCATTTCACGAAAAAATGCTGAATGCCTAGATTGAACTGTGGAAGGAATTTTTCCTATTGCTTTGCGAAATATTTTATCACACATATTTGACAGTATACTGATAAGAAAAAAAAAGCACAACTTTTATACTAATACTAAAGGATAAGTCAAGTCTGGAAGACTTTTCAAATGCTGTTTTATCACAACGACCTATTTCATTGCATACACTATTTATGGATTTTTTGTGTCAAGATATACGAAAGATTAAACTTTCTGTGTTTCCAATTGTTCAAAATGTGCGATGAATTTGCGACTATTTCCAGGAACACTCTGGATTAAGGTACGGTCTTGAAGAAAAAAGCAAATTCAGGCATAACTGCCAGGCTTTTTACTTATTTTAAGGTCACCATCAGAGCAAAACAATCTTAAAGAAGTTTCAAAGAAGACTGTTATAGTCCTTGTAAATGTTAGACTGAATCGGTCTCCAAGGAAATTGAAACGCAAATATGTCAATCTAAAGACATCTTTAAGATTGTTTTACCCTGGTGGTGATCTTAAAATAGGTCAAAATCTTAGCAGTTACAAATGAATTTGCTTTTTCCTTCAAGACCATAACCTAATCCTGAGTGTTCTTGAGTGATAAAGTGGTCGATATTTCTGACAAAAAATTTTCTAAACTATTTCTAGAGGCTGCCATATCATGCCTATAGATTGTAACTGTTCAACAAGGGCAGGAGAATTAGAACGCCTTGGTTTCTATCACTTTCTGTAAGATTTTATCAAAAACCTTTGACAGTACTGTGATAACAGAATTAGAACAACTTCTAAACTGATACTAAAGAAAGCAATTCAGACACAAAAATATTTTCCAAATGTGTTCAATCCTTGTAAACATGTTCTGTATGTGCAATTTTATCGCAACTTGTCCTATTTCACTGCACTTCAATAATTTCAAAGTTTTATTTTGAAGAATCATTCATTAATATTAAAACCGTGTATATTTTGTTTATGTCAATCCTGGCTATATCACTATCTGTGATACATAATGTAACCTAGACCGATTATTTTTCGATTAATAAGAAATAGAAAATCATCAAGTTAAAATCAATTTTATTAAATGTATTTATGTTGTTATTAATAAAGTGTTAGTACTTCCAAGTTTCTAAGTAATCATAAATTAGAATCAAAATAAAACAAGTGGTTATTTACCATTTTTGACGATTGGGAGGTGTCACTTTATCCAAGACGGGCTGTCCAAATAAAAAGCAGAATTTAGTTCAATTGAAAATAAAATAAAAAGTGTTTTAAACAATAAAACTAAATAAAATGAAAAGAAACTAAAATAAAAGACGTAAGGAACGTTATGTAAAACGAATTATGTCGTAATTTCTTTTTTTTTTTCGATCCACTTCCGCTTCCTCGGTGTCAAGCCGTAGAGTCGGAACGACACCCGAGAGCCGAATGAATCAACACGCAACTCGGAGGTCAAGAAGCGGCGAACGGCCGAATTGACGATTGAAACGCGGAATGAGAAATCCGAGCGCACTTGTCATTTGTCAAGATTCAATTTCTCCTGTGGACAAACCTTTTCTTGTTTTTTTGTTTGTTTTTTGAGGAGAGAATTTTTTCCTTTTCGGACAGTTTTCCCCTTTCTCGAGAAGGAACGCGGCCCCGGGGTCGTCGCCTACTGGAAACGAATCGCAGACGATGTGTAGAAGGCGAGTCGAGATCAAAACTGCACAAACATAAAAGATAAGAGAAGAAAAATGACAACACAGAATTTCGACAAATCAGCAAAAGTCAGCCAAATATGGCCGAAGTTTATTACCATGTTTTCGTCATGGTTGGCGCTACCTGTTGGAACCGGAACGACCCAACCAATTGGTGTCCACCCATTCATCAAAAAACCCAACCATCTCATAATAATAATATATTTTACGCAATGAATTCAATTTAGAATAATGTTTAAAAATAGAAATATAGAGTATAAAAAATATAACAATATAAAAGCAAAACTAAGAAAACAAATGAAAAAATTACTTAAGTATTAAACAATACATAATGAAAGAAAATAGTTTAAAAGAATGTTTCATACAAATAAACCTAAAAAAGATCATGTTTTCCATTGTTATTGTAAATTTTTGAATTGGCACTGTAAAATAATATAACATATTTTAAAATATTGCATAAATACATATGAGAAACAATTACATAAAAGTATATTGATTAGGCAAGTTATTTATATTTGTAAAGATAATACTTTAAAAGAATGCTTCATGTAAATATACCTAAAAAAGTCACGTTTATTATTGTTATATGTGGTGTTTAGTGACCATTAGTTAATGATTATTCGGAGATCATGAGATGCAGTCTGGTGTGACATAGGTTTTAGAAAAACATTTTCTTTATCGCGCCAACGTTTCAACCTTTATTGAGATCTGGGATTTATACACATTATTTAAATTTTACAAATACATGCAGGATGTCAAAAAAAATTAATTTATACAATGCTAGAAAATTTTAGATTAAAAAAAAATTAATTTATACAATGCTAGAAAATTTTAGATTCAAAAAACCGTTGAAACACACGGCAAAGAAAATGTTTTTCTAAAATTTATTATTGTTATTGTAAATTATTAAATTGTCACTGTAAAATATTATAACATATTTTAAAATATTATATAAACAATATTAGAAAACAATTACATAAAAGTATGTTGATTAAGTTTCTTGCATTAAATTTTCAAGGTAATCAGCGATTTTCTTTGGTCTTCATTGATATTATGTCCAAAAGCTTTACTTCAAAGGCAAACAGTTTCACAATATTTTTTGTTTTGAGTTATTTATTTCAATGGAATATAAGCACTTAAGACGGAAAAGATTTTAGGGAATTTAAGAGCAAAACTTTTTTTAAATTTGAAATGAAAGCCATTTCAATGATAGTAAGAATTGTTTATATCCCGTCTTATAAAGACTTAGAATGCTTGAAATATAGAAAATAGTCTAAAAAATTGTTCATATAAATATACCTAAAAAAAGATCACGTTTATTACTGTTATTGTAAATTTTTAAATTGTCACTGTAAAATAATATAACATATTTTAAAATATTATACACATACACTTTGAGTGACTACAAACACTTTGATTGAATCTAAAATTTCTAGAACTATAAATTCATATCTTTTTCCACATCCTACAGGTATTTGTAAAATTTAAATAATGTTTATAAATCCCAGGCCTTGAAGATGACCTCAATAAAGATCGAAACGTTGGCACGATAAAGAAAATACTTTTCTAAAACCTACGTCACACCAGACTGCATCTCATGATCTCCAAATAATCATTATGCACATATGAGAAAACAATTACACAAAAGTATGTTGATTAAGTAATTATTTATATTTATATAGAAAATACTTTAAAAGAATATTTCATGTAAATATACCTAAAAAAATATCACGTTTATTATTGTTATTGTAAATTTTTGAATTGTTGGTGTAAAAATATATTTCAAAATCCATTATGTGGATTCAGTGGTCAGATTGACCAAATTACTTCTTTCAATTCTTTTCATTTCAACCAAGACCTTACATAAAAATAATATTTCAAAATATTATATAAATACATATTAGAAAACAATTATATAAAAGTATGTTGTTTAAGTAAGCTATTTATATTTATATTGTCATATAAATAATTAAACTTTATTATTGTGAAACTTAAAAATGATTTACAAGAAATGAACATAAAAAAGTTTATCATTGTTATTACAGTCTGTTATTGTAAATTTTTGAATTGTCACTGTAAACTAATGTAACATATTTAAAAATATTATATAAGTACGAATATTATGTATGTACGGCGAGAAAGCCATTACATAAAAGTATGATGATTAACTTATGTATATTTAATTTTTAAGGTAATCAACGATTTTCTTTGTTCTTCATTTGTATATTGTTTACGAAAGCTTTGCTTTAAAAGTAAACAATTTCACAATATTTTTTGTCTTTATCAGACATTCTATTGTGTTTCAATGGAATGTAAGCACTTAAGACTGAAAAAATTTTAAGGAATTTATGACAAAACTTTTTAGAAATTCAAATGAAACCAGTTTCAATTGTAGTAAGAATTGTTTACATCTAGTTTTATAAAGGCTTAGAAGGCTTAAAACTATAGAAAATAGTTTTAAACAAACTTTCATGTAAATATACCTAAAAAAAGATCACGTTAATTATTGTTATTGTAAATTATTAAATTGTCACTGTAAAATAATGTAACATATTTTAAAATATTATATAAATACAATTAGAAAACAATTACATAAAAATATGTTGTTATTTATATTTAATTTTCAAGGCAATCAGCGATTTTCTTTGTTCTTTATTTGTATATTGTTTACAAAAGCTTTATTTCAAAGATAAACAATTTAACAATATTTTTTGTTTTTATTTATTTGAGTTTTAATGAAATATAAGCACTTAAAACTGAAACGATTTTAGGGAATTTATAAGCAAAACTTTTCTTTTATGTGTGGTGACTTTTTTAAAAATAAAATGAAACCCATTTCACTTATATTAAGAATTTTTAACATCCAGTCTTTTAAAGACTTAAAAATCAAACAAATTTTCTATTATACAATAATTGTTCCAGGCTTGAAAACTAAACAGGTAGCGCTAGTATGACTAAAAAAACTAAATATTCAACTGTACAATTTGAAAATGCCAAATTCCGATGCTGAAAAGGGAGTTCGAAAAATATCCTCCTTGGGCAAACGGCAACTTGGAATTTCGTCTTGAAATCGAGGTGTTGATTTTATACAAATCCTCTTCACGATTCGTTGCCTGGCCGAACGTCAACCGGAAACAAAGGAAATTTCTCAGCCGATCGCGTTTTGTTCAATTTTTAAATCGGTCGTCGCCGAACGCCTGCTTCAGCGTTCTTATTGCTCGGACAGGTTTTTATTAATTGTCGTCTTATAAATTTATTAATTACTTAGTCGGCCGAGGATGAGGATTTTACGGAGTAGCGTTGTTTTAGTCAAAAAGGACGATCAGTTGCTCTTGGGGCTAAACAAACGGGGGTTCAATCGAGGGAAGTGGACCGGTTTCGGAGGCGTCGTCCAACCCAAGGAAGACCTCAAAATTTGCGCCCTCAAGTAAGTTCAATATCATTTTAACACACATTTTAATATTATTACATATTAAATAATATTAATAGTTTCTTAACAAATTTAATTGTAAAAAAAAATATTTTTTTTAAGCAGGTAAAATTCTGACATTTACATGAGTTAAAGTTTTTAAAATTTGATCTTTTCATTCCTTTCATAAACTTGTTAAGCTTAAGTTCGAATATATATCAATATAACTTGTATATGTACAAATTATAAACTTTTAGAAAGAATTTTTTGCACGCCATGATCGATAAATTTAAAAAAACAAACATTTCAAAGATCAGATTTAAAAAAATTATATAAATTTTCTGTCATTACTGATACATCATAGCTGATTTGACCGTGGTCGTAAATTGAACATCGCGGAGTAACTTCGACGAAATGGCGTCCGATTTTTCGCCACGGACATTTTTGAACAGACCCATTTACAAAAATTTAAAAAAAAAAAGTGAACTCGTATTTTTTGACCTTTTATTTCAGCATTTGTCAAAAATAAAATTTTCTCCCTGTGAAAAAAAAATCCGCATAACCGATCATTTTAAAATACAGCCGAAAATCTTTCAGGTCGTATTCGTACTGCATTCCACCATATGTAGATACGCAAACAAACGTAATGTTTTGTTAATATTAATTAAAACAAAATATTACGGAACAGTTATTATTTTAAAAAAATTGAACGTTTTCTTTAATTGTTGTATGAAAAAAAATGGCGGAAATTGGCAGTTACGAGTTAAGATTGTATTTTCTTTAGGTCTTAAAACACGACTTCTTTAAGCGGCATTCCAAATCTAATTTCAATTAATTTTCATCTCTTTAAATTAAATTTGACTTAAACCAACATCTCGCCTCGATTTAAACAACATTTTCGTCCAATCATCGGATTATAATATACGGGGAATGTAGAAATTAAAAAATAAATAAATAAAAAAAATCGGGTTGGAATTTTTCTTAATCCTTATCTTAGAGAATTTATCTTTGTTTACTTTTTCATTTTATAGCATTATAAGCTGGGTGTCTAATAATTCCATATTGCAGAAATGTTTTTTTTTTCTTTTCTTAACACTAAAACTATTATTATTTTTTATTATTCCCTTTACGCTAAGGTTTTAAAAAAAAGTTATGGTTTTTGTAATGGCGTTATTTAAAATTAAATTTGTAATTAATTAATGTAAGATGTATATGTAAAATGAGGGTGATTTGGGATACTTTGCTCTTTCAGAGCTATTTTTATGTAACTACCTATAACACACCTGCAGCTAGTCCAAGTTCATCAAGGGATTTGATATTAGACTTGGATTTAGTGATTATATTTCTTCTAGGGTTTAGTTATACATCCCAAAGCATTTCCTCCTGCAGATAAGTGTAACATCACAGTCTGTTAATGCGTTAGTTCTGCCTCTTTGAAAAATCTGCACATACCAGGTTGATCACAATCTTCCTTAAATGTCCATTCAGACCGCAGTGCCTCATTGTGTTTTAATTCGATAAAAAAGAAGGAAAAATTTTGTTCTGGGAGTTTTCAGTTGCAAGCTCGTATCTGCACGTGCATGAACATACAGTACAGAGTTGAGCTTATCACTTTTTGAAGCTTGCCGGCAATTCCAGCTTTTATGTATAAATTACTTTCAAGCCTCGAGAATCACCCACATCGGATGTTGCCAGTCTGGGGTCAAACCTCAGCCTCATCCGTCCAGCCACTGACGATGGCTCCAGGGGCTTTCAATAGCTAAGTCATTTCAGATAGATCCATACCCTGTCACTCATTCACTCAGTTAAGGCAGTGAAGTTCACATTCCTTCATCACCCCTTACACCTAGTACATAACTAACCTAATTGATAGAAATGATAAATGATGGAGTGAGTGTGGTGTTCAATCCTTTTTAAAAAGATAGTTCCTACTCACATTAAGTTGTTTTGCAACGATCCGGATTTCGAGCCTTTTAGCTCATCATCAGGTTGAAGGATTTCTACAACCTGTTGATGAGCTAAAAGGCTCGAAATCTGGATCATTGCAAAACAACTTACTGTGAGTAGGAACTATCTTTTTAAAAAGGATTGAACCTAATTGACGGTTGCGGGGTGGTACTCATTATTTCACCATCGGCCATCTCACATATATTCAAGCCAATAAATACATCCAGTCTCATGTGAGCAAGACAAGATTTAATTTATTTTACTATAAAATATAGTACCGGAATCAGTTAAAATTAAAACAGGGGACTAAATACTTGCTGCTATGCGACTGTATAGCTGATAAGATCTTTTTTTTTAACTTCTTTATCTTATACATGATTATATTTAATATAATACTGGTTTTCTGTTATGTTTATTTACAAATTGATTGTTTATTAATCTTTGGAACTGAAAAATTCCAATTAGTTTTTCTTAAACTTATAATGAAGATTATGATGCCAGAAACATTTATTTCAGTTGAAAATGATAATTATAATGAAATTCTTATTTAGAAAAAACTGGATTTTTCATATAAAAAATCTTAAAAGCATAGTTCTTGCTCTTCTCCTAGCTTCTTACCTGCAAAATAAAAAGTAAAAAATTACCGCAGTTCTTTTCATAAAAATTGCCTTCGGGANAAAATCTTAAAAGCATAGTTCTTGCTCTTCTCCTAGCTTCTTACCTGCAAAATAAAAAGTAAAAAAATTACCGCAGTTCTTTTCATAAAAATTGCATTCGGGATTTCTCATATCTGACTAGTTAACGAGATTTTGTTTGTTTTCAAATAGAACTTTTTGGATAAAATGTTTTTTTTTTCTTTTTCTTGTAGAAATACCAAAGACCAATGTGGTATCTCGGTCGAGAAGCTGGAAAAAGTTGGAAAGGTGGAAGTCAAAATAGCCGGGGTACAAGAGGTGGTCCAAATGCACATATTCATATCTGACACTTATTCTGGCGAAGTCAAACCTTCTAAGGGTAAGTTTTACATTATATTTTTCTTATTTGCAGCCTCATGATTACATTTTGAGTTAGAGAATCAATTATGTTATGAAACCACTTTTAAAAGTTTAGCTTTTCCCCTGACTTGGGTTTCCATTGTTTCCTGACCACCCTGGTCTGCCTTTTCTCACTGTCTTTGTCTGTTTGATACATATTGGTTTTTTTCTGTATGTTATTTTGTCATTATTGTATTTGTAATAATGTCAAACCTACCACTGAACAAGGCAAATGTAACACTTTTCTGAGCATGGGTAGGATCGGAAACGATCAAACTACAGGTTCATTACATATAAAGAACAAAATCTCAATTTATATGGCAACACAATATTGTGTGGGTCAATATTGAAATAAAACAATACAAAAATATTACAACTATAAAACATTATTAATGAAATTCATACATTTTAAAGAATTTAATCGATGAATTATTGTTATTTAATAAAGGTTTTTCAAATTTAATAAGTAATTTGAGTGATGTATTTATGTGGATATCCAAAGTTAATTTTAATATTTCAGATATGCAGCCAGAATGGTTTTCACTCAAGGACCTTCCTTATAAGAGCATGTGGCCTGACGCAAACTACTGGCTTCCGCATATCGTGAAGGGAGAGAAAATCAAAGGTTTCTTCGTCTACCAGAACGAGACGCTCATCTATCAGGATTTGAACACTGACGCGTTCAACAATAGGCTGCAAAAGAGAAACTACTCAAATGGGATATTGAGTCGTTGAACCCATCTGCTGATGCATTGCAATTATTAAAAACCAAACAATTGATTTAATCAAGAAATAATCGTGTTTGAAATATTAAGAAAAGGTTATTGAGTATAAGGTTCGAATGAAAAACAAATATCACAGGATATTAAGAAAAAAAACTACAAAAAAATCAGAAAAAAATCCCTTAATCTTTTAATGTTTACTTTTTATGTAATTTTTGATGTAAAATAAAATTAAAATTTAATTAAATCGTTTTGGTTACAGCAACTTGATTTTAATTTTTAGCATATTAAGAGTAATAAAATAATTAAAATAATGTAGATATAATTAAAAGATAAGGCAGCATAACGAGAAAAATATTGTAAGTATATTGGGTTTGAATCCAGCTATACCTTAACTCTTCAGTGAACATAACATTTTCACAATTAATTAATCTTTATGTAAGTATTGTTTGAAATGAAAAAGTTAGTGTCACTAGCGGGATTCGAACCCACAACTTTCGGCTAAATACCCCGCTGCTCTACCATATTATGATTTCGATCCACTCGGACACCAACTTCCCACCTCAACCTATCTTTCGAATTTTAATTAATTCGCTTAATTAATTGAACCAAGTTATTAGGTTAATCGGACCATGAAATATAATGGATTTAATAAGTAAAACAAAGTATATCTTCAATAAAGCTCTCCGTGGCCATTTCATTTGTCGCCGAGAATCGAATCCTAATTACACGACATTTGAAAATTGGCAAAAAGGAGGGAAAATTCAAAAGGTAGGTTGAGATGGGAAGTTGGTGTCCGAGTGGATCGAAGTCACGATAGCACAAGTGGTAGAGCAGCGGCGTATTTAGCCAAAGGTCGTGGGGTATAATCCTGCTTGTGACACTGACTTTTTCATTTCAACTAATACCTTACATAAAGGTTAATGAATTTGAAGAAATCATTTGGTCAATTGGACCACGAAATATAATGGATTTTCACAATTCTTAGATGTGACTTTCTTCAACTATCTGAATCCATATACACAGTTACTGCTATTTCCAAATCCATCAATTCAGTTTCAGTCCAAAATTAAACAAAAACATCTTGTAAACAATGTCTCACTTCACATTGAAAGGTGCGAGACTTGAACAAAGAAGTGAGTACACTTGTGGGTTTTGATGTCGTTCAAGCGCAATTCGGCTTTGTGCCATCCTCAGTGAGTAACTGTCTGGTAACATCAAAACCTGTAAGAGTAGATGACCCAGTGCCTGTATATATATACATACATATAGGAGTAAACCCTCAGTTCAAAGAGAATGTATTCCAGGCATGCGAAAAAGTGGTTAAACTATGGCATGGCAGAACTAAATCTAGGATGTATTAGGGCTAGAACAACAGAACTACTGACTGGATACTGCAGACTACGGAGGCATTTATAGAGCGGAAACATTTCCTCTGGAGAGTCACTATATGGCTGAGATTCCTAATCTTGGGGAAGGAAACACCAATGCCTAAAGGATAAACACAATAGTCCTTATCAAAACATTGGGATCTGATCAAAAGCTTAAATAAGAGCTCTATATAACGAAGCTTGCATAAATGACCATTGATGGTTGATTGTTAGGCCGTGTGACTCGTATTTGCCACACTACATGTTCTGGGTTCCCAGTACAGCCCATGAAATTTTAATTTGTAATGTTTAAAAGGAAGAGTGGTTTGACCCTTGTCTGGGACACCCAATGATGGACATTAGGCCCTACTAAATTACAAAAAATTATATTACTTTAATCCCCTGATAACTTAATCCAACAATGCCCACCAGTAAGACTTCCATCGTAAATTTAAATTAAAAAAAAAAATTCTGTAATATACTATATACAACTATGATCGTTTTTACAATAATTTAAAGCAATTATAAATAATTCAGATCCCAAATTTTGTTAAGGGATGTTCTGTTTATCCTTCAGGCCTTGGCTCTCTCACACAAGTAGGAATCTCAGCATATATAAGGACTCAGTTTCTCGCCAGAAGATATGTTCCACTGTTTTTTCTTTTTCCTGGCAATATCTGCACATCTGTATGTCTCATGGTCTGCAGTATTATTCCAGCCCTAATACATCTTAGATTTAGTAATTAAAAAAATCATCTATTTTCTCAGGTATCATTAGAGTTATATCAGAATGGCGCACTATGTTTGCAAGTTGGTTTCACACTGAATCTAAAAAACTGGTTAACAGAAATCCATTGGGGGGGGGACAATACCAATAGAAAAAATAATGTGTCTGAAAAATGGCCGGAATTTGAGACTCGCTGCCATGGGGAAGCAAGTCAAGTCTCATGAGAGCTGTAGCCCTCGAATTAAAAGTTCGACTGCTTCATTTCATTTCCTCGTACAGCCCGACAAATTCACAATAATTTGATCAATAAATCCAGTTGGGATTGATAAAGCTCCTGTAATTTTTTTTTTGTCAATTTACTTTGTTTTCATAGTATCTTGTACATTCTGTTTAGTGCCAGGGTAGGTAGTTGTAGTTTGGCAAGACATAAAAATCATTGAACAAAGCATTTTGTTGTATTTTAGCTATCAAAATTTCTTTTCTTTTTAAGGAAATTTTTACCTAAACTATAAAAATGTCTTGTGGACAATACGAATTCATATTGCAACAAAAAAAAGATATATAATAGACAAAACTTATTTAAATTAATTCTGTATTTACTTATTAAAATTATCAAGCTATTTAAATTACAAAATATATAAATACAAGAAAAACATAACACATTGTATTAATCACATTTTATGATACACTCCTGTGTCTTGTCACAGCATTCCTTGAGAAGCGTGTAAGAGAAACATTTGGCAATTTGATACCTAATGTACTTAATCTGTTCGTCGATACCTTCTCTTTGAGGGATGCTGTTTTCAACATCAGTAGTCACCTCTTCTAAGCTGGCAAGTAAGATGGTGACATCATCGTGTGAAAACAGTTCAGGGTGCTCTGTCAAAAGTGGAAGGCTGTCTATTAGAAGCGTCAGCCAAAAGCTGAAATAAAGATATTGCAAAATTTCAACATTAAAAACAAACAATGTAGTTGTAAGACGGTGTGAAATTTGAAATCACTCACTATTTCGGGGCGACTTTAGATTCCAACAAACGAATTAAAAGTTCGACTGCTTCTTTCCATTTCATTTCCTCGTACAGCCCGACAAATTCACAATATTTGATCAATAACGTAAGCCTGCCGCTGAGGAGTAAAACACTGTGGGCCATATTCGCTAAAACTGGACAGCACATGAGTTCGACTTCGGTTTGCCCCAGGGCATATTTTTCAAGGTATTTGTCGGCGATATTTGAAGCAGCTTCAGAGTTTTCACTCATTATGGCCCACGTCAAAGCCCCAGCAAGGTTATCCTTTTCAATTTCCTCGACCATTAATTGTTTACAAATACCGTTGGCTGTAAAATTATTAACGATTAGTATAACAAGACCAAAACTTCTAAGAGAAAATTTACCTACCGACTTCCTCAAGACCATAATCTTGGGCAACAGAAATCATTCTTAATGCTTTATTTTTTGACCTCAATGGCATAGATTTAAGGATAGTTTCTATAACACTTACACCAGAATGACACTGTTCAAAATAAGTCATTGCAACTTGCCAATAAGATTGGTGGCTCATTAAAAGCTGTCCATAGGAAAGAAACATTTTCTCCAAGTTTATTTTTTCATCATTTCTATTGGAAATAAACATAAAACAATCATAAATAAAATATTAACTGAAAATATGTGATAGTACTTACTCTTCATCCTCAAACACTCCTGCAAGATCGAGAAGATTGGTTAAATGTAACGCACACCAACCACCATCAGGAGTTAATTGTAATTTTTTAATGGCCTAAAAGATGCTCAATAATATGTAAAATAATTGTTAACCAAACCGAAATTTTAAATTGTTTTTAAATCGTTATAATTAAGCAAACTCACCAAAGGAATATTTTGTTCAAAAAGTGCCAATAAAGTTTGATCTAAAATTTTAAGACTACCCGACTGCTTGTATTGAGAGAAACACTTATTTGCATGATAGCTCAAATCATCAATCTTGACTGTTTGCTCGTTGTACAACAAATAAGCGACCAGAAGCTGATACCACGTCGAACAATATGGTTTTAAAGTTGACAATGATGATTCACCGCCAACAATTATCTTGAACGAAAGAATTATTTAATTTTGTACAAGCTTATAGTTAAGTAACAAAAATAAATAAATACAATTCTTAGTTAAGTAACAAAAATAAATAAATACAATTCTTACCAACATCATTTGATGAAGGTGGTTATGAGCAAGAAAGGTACCGGCTAAAATTTTGGCCTGTAAAGAAGATTTCCATCCTCTCCATCGGGAAGTAAACTCGGGCACTGATAAACCACAATATATCTTAAATTGTAAAAAAAATGAATTAAATGAAAAAAGAACATGCTTTTTAAAATTTTATATAATTAGTACAAATATTACATTGAATTTTGGCATTCCTTGAAGGATTAAATCAGCTTCTAGATAAGCGCTTTTATCCGAGTCTGAGTGAAGTTTCAAAAGCGCTCTCGCTGCATCGATCCTGCCCTCGAGCAAGAATCCGTAGATTAAATCCCAATAGTTTGGGTACCGGTGGTTTGCACCTTTCGTGTGCGACTCTGAAAGCACCTCGGCGGCGATGTAGTCATAGTCAGAAGAAGAATGAAGCCTAATCCATTCGAGCAGTTTTGGAAGAATTACATCTCCTGAAAAACAATTTTATATGAACATGCATTTTTTTTACAACTTAAAAGTGTGTACCTGGAATGCACTCAATATACAACAGCTCACAAAGATGCCAGATGTGATCGATATTGTCAAGCACTTCTACCCAGTCATTGTACATTTCGTTTGAATTCTCTTTCATTGAACATTGCATATTTTCAATACACTGCCTTATTGTTGACCTGAAATAAACAATCAAGGTCTTAATAAAAAAAAAATATATTTTATATTTTATTTGTACCCTATATATATTAGTACAAAATTTTCACAAATGTGATCACAAAAAAAATTTTTTTTCACACTAAGGCCAGAGGATGCACCTTGAGGACAAATACCATTAGAAACCAGCCAATCCTGGCACTCAGCATGAGGGATTAATAGGCAAGGAAAACACAAGGCCATTGTTGATTAAGAAGAAATAGTGGGTTCTCGGGATGGGAAAGGTAGAGAGGGCTAGAGAAGTAAGATTAGGATGGATGAAGAAATTGATGTGAAACTTTTGGAATTTATATCTGATCAGTTTGTTGATAAAAGGAGGTGGTGAGGTGACATGGCTTTGCCAATTTGAGACTTAGGATTTCCGTTGGTAGGACTGGATGTGCTGGATGTTGAAAACTTGGCAGAGCCCCACAGTTCCACTTCTTATGTCCAAAGTGGTTGCAGTAAAGTCTTTATAAGGTTAGTTCAGTTTTGACGATTAAGATGGATTTCAATCCTAGAAATCTTCGTAGTTGTTCAAGTCTTCTGTTAAGATGTCTCTTAAGTCTTGTGTGTGGATTCCACGTCAGTCTGCTGTTAGGTATAGTCCTAAGTATTTTATCTGAATGGAACTCGTTATCTCTTTGTTGTTATTGTACTGTGGAGGGCAAGACTATTTTTTCAATATGAATGTACAATGAGTATATTTTTCTTCATTCAGTCTTGTCCTCCACTTTTTGCACCAGCCTTTAATAAGCTCAAGGAGTTCTTGGATAGGATGGAGGTAGCTTGGATAGGATAAAATAAAATAAATTTTAAATTAAAAACAAAAATTAACAATGTTAAAACCTGTGTTCTCTGCTCAGTTCGATCAATGTTTTCCTGTAGTCTTCTTCTACAGATATGGTCCTTGATGAGATGAAAGTTGAGTTGGACTCGTTAATCAACTTCCTCAGTTCTGGATCGTGCAAAATTGAGTTCTCTTGGACAAAATGAATTTTATCTTTTATATGCCGGAATTGATTTGTATCTCCTGAAAATTAATAACAGAATTTTGATTTTTGTAATCTAAGCAATAAACTAAGAAAGTTTTCTTTGAACTTTTTTATTTTATTACAACAGCCAAACACTTCCAACTGCCCAATTAGTTTGTCAAACCTGGGTTTTTTAAATCCCAAGTATTATTTTTACAACCCACACATGAACTTAGTTGTATGTGTGGAGCCTGGCTTAGATTATTTTAAAAAAATTGTTCTTCCAAATTCAGATTTTTGCCTGTTGTTTTTGAATGGCAGATGAACCAAACTTGCTTTTTACAAATCAGAAATTTCCAGTAGGCAACCCACTTACAGTCATCGAAGTCCCATCCATTTTAATTTAATTAATAATATAAATTAAATTAAATAAATAATATAAAGTTACAGTTTGTTATTGTTAACATGTATGATATTACTGAAAAATGGTATGTTAAATAAAACTAAGGCTAAACACTTTGCTTTAAACGTTGATTACCTTGATTTCTAGCTTCTGAATGTATCGCGACTCCAGTGGCTCCAGCTGGTGTAAAAGTCGGTCCCAACTTGGAAGCGAACTCATTTTTGATTTCCTAAAATAAAATTAGTACATACAGATAAATTGCTTGATTATAGAGAGTAAAAAGTGTTTCTGCTATCATGTAGTCAGTCCCCATTTTTAAGAATGGGTGTCTGATTTTATTAATTATTGTTGTGCGCCCATAATGTTTAGTTCCCATCCAGTTTAACCGTTTCTGCAGCCTAAATGAGATTTTCCTCGTTTCTCTTTGTGTAATTATTTCCAATGGAAATAGATTTAACAGGTTTCTAGAGTAATTGACAGTCTGACAGTCTTTGCATGCTGCTTAATGTTTGGGTAGGTTGTTTTGATGAGCTTTGGTCCATCAGATTATTGAGCCATAGGATACTTTGGGTCTTATTACTGTTGTATATTAGCCAATGGGCCATTTTCAGTTTTAAACCATAAGATTTGCCTAGAGTTTTTATGGTCAATAGCGATGGCAATTGATGAATTAATAAAGTAATTCTTATCTAACAGCAAGTATTAACATCCAATTTCCTGTTGGGTGTCACAGGCGAGGAGTTAATAATAAATTTTTCATACTATTATCAATTAAAAAATTATGGGCTCTGCTGTGATTTGACCTAGAATTGCTAGTGTGGCAAATACAAGTCAGACAACCTAACCACTCATCGGCTATAGTCCACCTTCTTATATAAAGAAAGCAGATTAATTTTTTTGTTTGTGACATTTAAGCCATATTTTTTAAAAATTGAGTAATGGGAATAATCTATGAGGTGCTCCAATTGTTTTATCATAGATGAGGATGATGTGGTGATGGTAAGTTAGACTAGAGTCTATCTATACCATAAATATTTAATTACACTTCTCTAGAGTATTTGTATATTATCAATGTATGACACATCGGGCCTCTTTTTAATAAATAAGATAGCTTTGTATTAACAATGTTAGGTTTTATTTTCCACTTGTTCAAATATCTGAAGCATTTTTGCAAATATATTTATAGATGATTAGTAATTGTGTCAATTCTGAAGGACATGACAAAACACACCATGTCAATACCAGGGAGCTTGGGAATTTAACTTCATGACATCATTTATAAAAATGTTGAATAATTTGGACCCAAGAATTGAACGAATCCAATATTGGTCTACTGTGCAATCATCATTATTGTTTACAGATCTTCATTAAGTATAATTGTGTTTCCTTCAGGGTTGGCTTTTCCTCTCCCAGAAGTAGGACCCTCAGCCTGCATAGGCCTTCATACCAACAACACATGGTGTTTTTCTTCTTCCTGGCAAAGGTTTTGTTTCTGCTGTTCTGAGTCTACACGTATTCTTTCATGGTCTGCAGTATCCAGACGGCAGACCTAATATCATTTAACATGTCCTAGGTTTGATACTTCTGTTGTTACTTTCTGCGATGGATCTTTGATGAACTTTTGAGCATGCCTCTGTGCTGGAATACAATCCCATTGAACATAGATTTTTTTAACCCAGCGTTTGATGGATCTACTCTTTTTTTGGCAATTTGGTGTACTGCAAAACGATTTGGGCCAATAGGTGTCCTCATCGAAATTTCCTTGGCCAATTTATCAGCATCCTCATTGTTTCTCCTACCCAAACAAGGGTTCTAACATGTTATTACCCCCAATGTCTGACAGAGAGCCTAGGACTTTACTACTGATAAGGTATTTGCCTTAAGACTGGTTGACCAAGTAGAAGGCTTTCTTTAGTTGATAATACCTAGCTTGATCTCTATGGCCCAGTGTTTAATGGCCACAGTTACTACATCAATACAGTGCCATCTTGCCCAAGGCTTGATTGCACGCATGAATTCTAGTCCTAGTATTATTTCCTTCGATACCAGTTCCTGACCCATGTCCTAGAGCCATCTGTATACCAAATATGGTCAGTATTAACTGGGATCACTTTCTTCCCTGTTTAAGTTGAAATGTATTGCACTACAATTTAGGAAACTGAATTAACTTGAAAATAGACTGTTGTACCACACACTTTATTTTTATTGAAAGGTTTTTGAACATCTAATACCTAATACCACTGTGTGTTTGAAATTAAAGTTGTAAGCTATTCTATTAGTTAATACAGCCAGCTAAAAAATAGTGATGATGATCAGAAGCCAAATTGGTATTTGGAAATTATAAAATTTTCACATTAAATGTAAATTGATTCTTTTGAGAACAACCCACTAAGCTATTTTACTCAAACAAGTTGGCAGAGATGGTAGCTAGTGACGAGTCACATCTTTAGACTAGACTTTAGCAGTTTTGGAAATTACCCGTACATTAGCAAGTGGTTAATAAGTTTTGTAAATTGAAGTTCAATTTTTAGATATACTTTTAATCAACACTCCCCCATAATCACAAGTGGGTCATATACAAGGGAATGTTGTCTCAACGACTCAGCCATTGGACATGATTGACTGATAGTGCCAAGTTTCTTAAATTATTGAATGCCAAAATCATTAAATATGGTGTGATCCTGAATGTAACACGGGGCACCAGATGAAGAGTATTGATTGAAGAGTATACTTTTGTATGGTTTGCACCTTGTTGACTTGTGAATCGGTGATGAGTGATGACCATATAAAGCAGTCATATTGGCTGGATAACTTGAGGAAAACTAGTAAAATTGGCACGGAGAGGATTAATAAGGCTTTTGTGGCAGTACTGTTTCAAAATATACATTCGGTGTCGGCTCTGTACAAAGATGTTTTTGATGTGTGGCAGATAACAGAAACCAATCATTTTCTTAAGGTGTTGAAACAGTTATCAAAAGGCAAAACGCTTTCTTCTTTCATCCATGTTACAGCAATACACCGAAAACAACAAGAACTTGTTACAGCCCAAAATTCACCCGGTGATGGGGGGTGCCAGCTGCTCGATGGAGAAAGGGTGGGTAAAAGAATGAAACAAAGCGTGAGTTCGGCTAGGTGAAAAGGAAAAAAATATAAAAGAAATACGTTGGGGAAAAAGTAATAAAGATATAATAAAATTTTAAAAAGAAGGGGCTGAAAGAAATAGTAGAAATGAGAAAAATGAAGAAAGAGAAAAATTGAAAAAAGAAAAGAAAAAAAGAATAATATAAAAATAATAAGCACCACAACTGGTACTCAATCTTGGGCTGGTGCTTTAGCTGCGGCAACAAGGTGAAGCCTCTATCCACACAGCTATCCTGGCCTATCCGTCATACCACTTCTTCCTTAGCCCTAGAGAAGGGAGGAAAACTAACGTGGCATTTCATCCAGCCTTTTTCCTTAAAGGGGGTTGTTTCTGGCTTCCTTAATAACAATAATAATAATAATCATACACGTCAGTGTGATACAAAACTAAATGAATCTGTTATTAAATAAAACAAAATTGGCATATTTCCTTATTAACAAACTAAATAGAACTAAATCTACAAATTAATAGTTACGGTCACGCAAAACAGGAAAAAACTAAGAAATCTGTGCATATTATTAACCGATGCAAATATGTAAATGTAAAAAGAGGTTTTACAGTTCTTATTCATATTTGAAGTAAGAGGACTTGAAGTCAGTCTTGACCAACCAACACACACACACACACACACACACACACACACACACACACACACACACACACACACATCTTAGCTGTGGAACATCAACGCTGGTTATTTCCTTGAGTTTCGCTTCCCTCAGGCCTCCTTTCTCGTTTCAAAGCCACATTTTCTGCTGCTGCCAAAATCCTCTTCTGGGCCTAGCTCCTGGTGTCCTTGTGCAAAGACCAACAAGGACTGCCACAGAAAATAAAGTCCAACTTGGACTGTTTTTCTTTTTCCTCCATGTCCGAGGGCCGATCAGACAAATATTGTCTCCACCACTCCTCTCCATCACCGCTCCTTGTCCACTCAGCTTTTCCCTATTTCTCGAAATAGCTAGCCCACACCCAACCCTCCATTTTTGGGATTTGCTTTGAATCCATTTTTTTAACCAATAGTATTCCTCTCTTCCTAGCATCTTTCTTCAACTAATTTATAAGAGAACAAAACTATTTTACCTGTTTTTTCTAAACAAACAGAAACAAAGGTAACAACCAGGCATAACTGAAAGAAAATATAGAGAAACTGAACAAAACACTAAATTGGGCCTATACACACCAATTCAGTAATTCCTCCAAGATACAGATATACCGCAGAGCAAAAAAAATAAGTTCATAAACTTCCTACATAGCATGATCATTCCTAATTAATTATAAATATTTATTTAACTCACATAACACGGGATGTAGGGTTTACCCGATGCCGAATCCATTTCCAGGGAAAATCTGTTTACAATTTACATGCACGTTGAGCCTGGACTGATGCAACCCTCTTCCCTCAAATTTAAAGACTTACAATGTTATCGATACTTACATTATTTTCATAGATATCAAAATTTCGGGAATATTGTAATATCAAAAACAAATATATTTTTCTCAATCATGTCTAAAAATTTATATTTAATACATAGAAAATTGCACCTTTTCTAATGAATAAATATTACAATAAAAACAAGTACTAATTTAATACTTTTGTATTGATACGTTAATCATAAAAGTATCGATTTATGAAAAAGTTTTAGCCAGCCCTTTGTTTTTCTATTAATCATAATTGTTTTTTTTTTTTCAAAAACATTAAAACTATTTTTTAAGTTATTTGATCTTCAACAAAACAAAAATCAATATTATTTTTAACAGGCAGAATTCGAGCAGTCAAAATAATATTCTCTAGTCGCCAAACCATATTCGGTTTGGTTCCTCAAGGTTCACTACTGGGACGCATATTGTTTAAAATTTTTACGAGAAAGAATCGAAGAGTCAGACGATAGATTTGTGAGAATACGCCTTAAGTTAAGAGCGCAATGCAAAATGTACACCAACATTTGGTATAATGTGTGTTTTTAGTGACGATTGTTTAATAATAGTTGGATTCGTGAGGAGCGGTCAACAATGAGGTAGTTTAGAAAAACACCTTTTTCATTTTTTTTGTCGACGTTTCGACCTTTATTCGGTTCATCTTCAGGGCCTGGTTGAATTACAAAACATATGTTGATTGGAAAAATACAACACAGATGTAAATATAAATTTTGAAACCAAGTATTTCATGTTCCCCTGTCACAATCGTATAAAAACATCAGAATGCAAAATCATGTTTCACAACAATTTCACACAACACCAATATGATACCACAGGAATGGTACCACATTTTATGTGAGTATGAAATACTTGGTATCAAAGATTATATTTACACCTGTATTATATTTTTCCAATCAACATGTTTTGTAATTCAAGCCCCTAAGATGACCTGAATGAAGGTTGAAACATTGGCTAAAAAATGAAAAAGATGTTTTTCTAAACTACCTCATTCTTGACTGCTCCTCACGAATCCAACAATTATTTGGTATAACGCTGAATCTTAGCTTGCTCAATTTGACTGTTTTAATTTTTTTAATTATTATGTTAAGACTTATTTGCTGATTATGAAAATAACTCATCTTGAACTAAAATAATGTAACTTTATGAGGGATTTTTTTCTTCAAATTTTCAGTACAAGCCCTTTTGGTTTATTAACACCACAGAAAATTTCAGTATAGATATTTCATTGAAATTCGCACTATTCTTCTCATTTCAAAATTTTAGATAAAGTTCAAAGTAAGTTTAGAATTATTTCCTTTCGATTTCCTTTCATTTCATTTCCAAATTTGAGTATTTCTCTTTACAATCTTCTAGAGTTAGCTTTTAGAAGTTTTTTTTAAAAATTTATTACTTCTAATAAATAGTAAATTATCTAATAGATTCTGAACTAGTATCTCTACTTCTTTCAATGTTCTACCCAGTCCTAGATGGGGTAAATTAAATGGTAATTTAATATACCATTTTGTAAAGCAAACTATTTCCTTTATTCTTCTATGATTAGATAAATGAAAGAAGGAAACAAGGTTTATGTGCGAATTTTATTTGCAAAAAGGTGAATTTAATTTACAATAAGATGAATTTAATTTGAAAAAAAGTGACTTTAATTTGCCAAAAAGTGACTTTAATTTTCAAAAGGGTGAAATTGATTTGCAAAAAGTTAATTTAATTTACAAAAGGGTGAATTTGATTTGCAAAAAAAGGTGAATTTAATTTACAAAAGGGCGAATTTGATTTGCAAAAAGGCGAATTTGATTAGCAAAAAGTGACTTGAATTTTCAAAAGGGTGAATTTGATTTGTAAAAAGATGAATTTTATTTGCATAAAGTGAATTTAATTTACAGAAGGATGAATTTAATTAGCAAAAAGTGACTTGACTTTTCAAAAGGGTGAAATTGATTTGCAAAAAAGTTAATTTAATTTACAAAAGGGTGAATTTGATTTGCATAAAGTGAATTTAATTTACAAAAGGGTGAATTTGATTCGCAAAAAAGTGAATTTTATATGCATAAAGTGAATTTAATTTACAAAAAGTGACGAATTTTCAAAAGGGTGAAATTGATTTGCAAAAAAGTTAATTTGATTTGCAAAAGAGTGAATTGAATTTTGTACTCTCAAAGCGTTTTTCCGTTTTGGGTTGATTTCGACTGATCAAAAGAGAACGTATTCGTTTACTATTTCTCTCGCTCATCGCAACTTGGGTTTGAATTTCCCTCTCGTGTTTCGACAAGGGTTAACAACCTTAGAATACAAAAAAAAGTCAATTGAGCTTAATCGAACTGCCGGCTGTTGTAATCGGAATTTCAGTTCTTTTTTCCCAGAGATAGAAAGAAAAAAAAGGGAATTACGTGTCGTCCGGTTTTAGGAGTCGGGGAAGAAAAAAAAGTGCACAAGAAATATCCTTTCTCGAAGTAGAGAAGTTGAGGTTATTATCATATCAGACGACTGTTTTCGAGTCGGTAGCTCGGACTGTGGACGAGGCAGGATCGGAGTCTATCTTACAGCCACGTCATTTTGTGTACGAAACTCTGCCTTCTCGGTAGCTGCTTTTTCCGGTTTCGGTTGAAAAGAAACCACTATGAACATATTCAGGCTTCTCGGCGATCTCTCTCACATCATCGCCATAAACATCCTCCTCCTGAAGATATGGAAAACACGCTCTTGTGCAGGTAATCCTCAGCCGGAGGTCCAATTTCAGTTCTCACACCGCCGGTTTGTTTTGATTCCGACGTTTTATCTATCCCAGACGCCTTTTATCCCTTTTCCTCGCGTCTTTCCTTTATCGAATATGCCGGTTTTACTATCGAACCGTTGTTTATTTCAGGAATTTCCGGCAAATCCCAGCTTTTATTCACCATAGTCTTCACAGCGCGCTATTTAGATCTCCTCACGACGTACGTCTCGGCGTACAACTCGTTTATGAAAGTTTTGTTCTTAGCCGCCTCGTACAACACACTTTATCTCATGTACGTCAAGTTTAAAGCTACGTACGACCACAATCACGACACTTTTAGGTAAATTTCTCACTTTTTTTCCACCCGTCCTTTGTACTCGTCCAGTTTATTAAGACAGTTTTTCTTTTCTCCAGGATCGAATTTCTCATTCTGCCCTGCATCATATTTGCATTGCTGATCAACCACGATTTTTTTCTACTTGAGGTAAGAATCATTAATTTTTGTGAAATTTCCTTTTAAGGTATGCAGTGTGATGAACCTATGGTAATGGTAATGTGCTACCCAGGCACTGCAGCCTTCTGGCTTATTGAACCTTGCTAGTTCAATGCAATAGACTCGACTATTGTGTCATAGAAGTATCAGCTCATTGACTGTAACAGCTACAATTTCATTCCCTAGGTTTTTTCTGTATGTTAGATTATATCTCCACCGAGCCGAGACGTTCCTCATTCGAAGATTATATTGGCCGTTTCCTCCTTCTCATTGCATATTCATTATATATGCCCATGTTCTGTAGATTTCGCAGATGCTGGTGTCTGGTTAATAGTTTTAACACTTTTCTGAATCAAGCCCTCTCCAATTGCATCAATGAGTTTGCCAGTCATGGTGAGGGTTATATATATATATATATTTACCTGGTAAATAAATATATATATTTACCTGGTAAACAATAGAAAATGAGAGGTTTTTCCTTGCCTAGGCTATACTCGGTCTATTTGGCTGAAGTGGTAGCCATCCTGAAAGCGATAGAGTACTCATCAGTCTTATGGCTAGTACGGACTGAGATTCTTTGAATTGATTCATGTTACGGGGTAGAGTCAGGACTGCGTAGATTCCTTGTTGTGATGCAGCCCCGACTCTGCTCCATGACAAAGAACCGTGTCCAGATCAAGATTCTGTTCACATTTGTCAACGCCTGTGAAAATGACAGAGGAACTAGCTCTCTCAGGACTTTCCCTTGCTCTTTTTTGCATTGTACGTAGTGAATCCAATCAGAGGTGCATTAAAAAAACGCCTAAAAAGATGGTGGGTTCGATAAATATTTCATGGTGGGAATCAGCACGGGAAAAATCTTTTGGACACATTGAGATTAAATGATGGCGTGGGGTTCAGAATATATTTTTTTTATTTCAGAAACACTCACTACAACATCAACTGAACAAATGAAGCAAGAGCGCTTGTTCTAATTCATGTCCGCACTGGCAAATGTTGTGCAACATTGAGTGAAAGAATCCCACATCGGATGGGATTCAAAAGAGTCCGAAAATGCTAGCCTGTAACACACCAGATTCATCGCAACAATGAGTCGGGGCAGCCCGGACTTAGGCTAGACGAAGCCGAGACTTTCTGGAGATTCAAAGAATCCCAGGGCATACTTGGCCTTAGAATCGTGTAAAATATGTATTTTAACTGACAGTCAGAGCACAATAATGCAGCTAAAGGACTGCTCCATCAACATTAAATACAAATTTAACCTAGTCGAGCTTATAAGGAAACTGTGAATTGCATGAGATGAATAAAGAAAGCCCTTTGTTGGATCAGAGGCCATGCAGGAGTTTGGCATAACGAGACGGTACTAAACTGGTGAAGTCCGCCTTAATAGGAGACTTCCCTTAGGACGTACCCATCTCAGCAAGCGACTACAAAAACTAGCAAATGATTTATCTTGCATCTTCTGTGGGAAATCTTACTTCTCCCTTTTCCCCATTTTAAGAAGGAAACTGGTTTACAGAAACAAGTGTTAAAAAGGGTAAAGCCTTCTCCACAATGTCGCATCCATCGGTATTGGACATGTCATGTGGCACCTTATCTGCACAAGATTGGGTGTAGGTCTTCCCCAAAATGTGAATCCTGCAACGAACTAGAAGATCTCAACCACATTATGATGAGCTGCAAAAAATTTGAACTTCAGAGAGGAGATACGTTTCAAGCTTTGGAAGGATATTCGGTCGAGAGCCCCTTCCCATCTAGGGACTCTCTTAACTGCAGGAAGTTCAGCAATGTACAGAATTCAGTATGACTTCATATGCAAGAGTCAAATTTCATTATAATACTTTCTTTATTTCTTTTTCCAATTTTTTGCGTTTTCTTTTGGATGCTTTGTTCCTTTCAGGAGATTCCCGCGACGGCAAGGTCTCTCCGCGGTTCGTGCCTCGGGGACTGTCGCGGCTTGAGTTAGTAAAAAGGTAGTAAAAAAACAAAAAGTATAGGTTCAGGGTCTTGCAGATCTACCAGTATGTCTGCTTTTTCGTTATCCAAAATTCCTCTGTGCCCTGGCTCTTAAAATATCATCAGGTTATGTTTCCCCAGGTTTTGGAGAATTTGGATGCATTCACTGACTAATTTTGATGTGATTTTTTTACATGCTAATGCGTGGCTATCAGATCTTATGAGGATTTTTTGCCAGAGTAACCTCTGTTAAGATTTTCTAGGGCACAAGCGTTGATAGCATGTATTTCTGCTTAAAAGACCAAAGTGTACTTCTCAAATGAGTTTGATTGCTCTTAGCTCAGGTTTGTACAAAAAATACCTGATCCAGTTCCTTTGTTTGTTTTGGAATCATATCTATACCATATCATTATATCTGATCCTCTCCTTTATAGTCCATTGAGACTTTCTAGGATGTTGTAAACATTGTTTCTGGGGTGTTGAACCTAAGTATAGTCTACAGTCAGCCATGTTTCGGCTCTCCAAAATCTTCAGGCAAATTATTTTGAACTGTACTATTGATTAACCACTACTGAAGATTGTGAATGACCAAACTCAAGCTACAGCTAAATATGCAACTCGGTTACGATTAACATTGATAATGCATTACATTAATATACTGATTTCTGTCTTGAATATTAATTTTTACCCTCCTCAGTATAAATTAACCATCATCCGCTTGTCCAATCGGCAGATTGGCTACTTTTTCATTATTGCGCTTATTATCCCTTAACATGCAGTTAAAGACTCAGGAATGGCAGGATTCTCAAGTTAGACCTTCGCCAACTTAGGGTCTAAGACTTCATCTCCAAACTGTGCCCCTATGTGATTGTGCATTTTTAAAGTTGACAAGTGGTGATTTAATGGCCAAACTGCTGTCTTATGAGCAGAAGCAAAAATATTTTTTCACCACTTGAATAAAGATTTAAGTACACATTTTTTTATTACTCCCTACTATTTTTAATTTCTTCAGTTGACTAGTGTTTATATATTTGTTGGTGTATATTAGTGGATTTGTTGCATGAAAAAGAAGAAGGGAAAAAAATTCCACCTGAATTATTGATCATAAATATGCAGTGGCACGGGACCACAATTTTGGATGCCAGTATGATAAAACTTTAATTTCTGTGTCATTTAATTCATTGTCTATAAATTACATTTACAAAATGTATTTTTTTTTGTATAAAAAAATTAGCATGAGTCCACAATTTTGGAAGAAGAAAGCGGTTGTGGTCCTGTCGACCATGCACATTACTGACACGATTGATGTGACAAAAAACAAAAAAACACTCAATTCATCGTTTACAATTTTGCATTTACAAAGTTTTTAATTGGAAAAACAAAAATAAATAAGAAACTCAAGGGAATGAAAATTAATATAACATTTTCAGTACTTTGAGTTTCCTATTTTTTTATGTCTTTATTTTCTTACTCTGTACTAGTAAGTTTTGGAGTTTTATTTTAATTTGTCATGTTGTGTGTAGTTACCCAATAAAATTTTAGATGATAATGTGTCCAAGTTATTTATTCTAAAAATTATGATTCAAGATGAGAAAATGAAGAAAACAGAATGAAAATGCCAAAAAGAAGATAATTGGCCAAATCGCCGTCTGCACGAGTGGGAATGGGACACCAGACCGCACGAGCGGATGAACGTTACAAATTTTTTTTCTATGCACTATGACCTGACTGCGGGTCAGCAATCTGGCTAATGGGCAAACTTTGACCCCCCTGAAGGTCAGCTGTATTGAGCATGTTAATGGTCCAATAATCTGATTTAATTTTCTGCAATTTTTCCCTTCTTATTGGAAATCTCTTCAATATGGTTTAGGTGATTATTTAAGCTTATCCATTTCCAGGCTTAAATAATCACCTAATTGACACAACTATTATGATGAGTACAATTGTGACATATCTGTTTGGGAAAGGTAAATTTCCAATCATTTTGGTCTTTTTCCTGTTGTTTTGATCTGTCAGACTCATTTTGTTTCACTTAATCGCCTACATTAATTGTGTCTGTCGTACAATGCAGAAATAGACAGACTAGAACACAATGATCACACACACAGTCTACATGGATTTTTTTTCTCTAGTAGTTTGGCACATGAAGATTTAGATTTGTAAATCAAATATTACAGAAGTTCTCATACTTTATTAATCGTTATGTCTCATTTGGTCATTTACGATCAGTTTTGCCTATCCTTATATTTGTCTTTCAGATGCATTTTGGCTTTTCAAGATCTTAATTGGTGGGTTTGTAAGTTATAAATTGAATTTCTTTTATATATTAGGGAAAGATGTGTTGATGTTATCTATATATATGACAGACCAGTGTGATCGAATTGATTAAACTACAAATTACCTGTCTAGACTAATTTTTAAAGCTAGTCAGACTGCGGTAGCCAAGTGGTTACTGTGATAGACTCTCTTGGCTCATAGATCCTGTGGTTGTGGGTTTGATTCCCACCATCGCCCCTGGCAGAACCGAAAAAATGCTGAATGAAGCATTTCCTGTTCAATTTTTTAATGAAAATCATGATATGGGTATCCAACCAAAATATAATTGCTAACATAGGAGAGAAGGCTCTTTTTGGAAAAGATAGTTTTACCCACAGAAGATACACGTCTGTCAGCATGAATTAATTGTACAATGTGCTACAATTCACAGTGAGACGTATTTGTACTTTCTGCCTGATGATGAGCATTTAAAATCAAAATCTGGTTAGCTGTGTAAAACTTCTGTGAGTAGAACTATCTTTTCCAAAAAGTGAATTTTTTCACCCCACTTCAAATCATTAATATAGGGGAGAAGGAGTAACAATACATTTTTTCAATGGGAAACTAACGCAAAAAAACTTTCAAATGTGGCAAAATAGATGGGTTCGGTTGGACTTTGAAAAGAATCCTGTGATCACTGATGTTGATGATAACCAGACAATAAATTGGCGAATTTAGCCATTCAGCTTTACTTAACGTGGGTCTTATCAAACCACTAAAATGATTTTGTGTCAGTCAGAAGAAAATGAATGTTAACTGTTTAAAGTTTGTCTTAGCTCCTTAACCACTTATGGTTCTCTTTTTAAGAAGCCAAAGATTCAAAACTAAAAAGGAAATTCCAATTATGTCAACAGTTTCTATTTTTAAGGACATTTTTATATAGGAGAGAGAATGAATTAATGACAGAAAAACCATATTTCGAGGAATTTAGATTTGTTGTTTGAATAGCTGTTTAAATATTTATCTAAAAAATGAAAAAAAAAAAATGTTTTGCCCAAGTAAACAGCAATTAAAGTTTATTTATGGTATTTTATACAAATGAAAATATTTTGTAATGGCCATATTATCGAAATTATATTATTTCTAAAAGTAAATAACCAAGTGAATTTTTTTCAAACTTAGGAATATTTCCATTGATTGCACTGTGCTTATTATCATATTGCTTATTACATTATCTTCTGTTAAAGTTGAGTTGTACATTTAAACTAATTTTTGATAAATTATTACATTACAGATTTTGTGGACGTTTAGTATTTATCTCGAGTCAGTTGCAATTCTACCTCAGTTGTTCATGGTGTCGAAAACAGGAGAGGCTGAAAGCATTACGTCGCACTATCTTTTTGCCCTTGGGTCATACAGGGCACTTTACATTCTGAACTGGATATACCGGTACTACGCTGAGGGCCATTACGATCTAATCGCTATCGTCGCTGGCATCGTACAAACTGTGTTGTACTGCGATTTCTTTTATTTGTACATAACAAAAGGTGAGTTACACTTTTATGATATATTTACAGTTTTTTGCTGTTTGATAATAAGGTATAATTGGCGACTCATTCAATTAACATATTGTTCATTTAGTGAACCCTTTGTTTTGCTTAGTAAAGTTAATCTGAATGTCTAACTGTTCTATTTTGGATTTTACTTTTGATATTAAACAAAAAAATCTAACCCACATTTTTATGCTTTTGTATCGAATTTGCACAAGAAGATCTGGACAAATGGAGATAAATATTATTTTGGACAAAAATTTGCTATAGTGAATGTATTTTTGAGAAATTGTGTCCCTTTTTAGTAAATTTACAATTGACTTTAAATATTTCAGGACAAGTATACTTAAACCATAATGTGTACCATAATTACTTAAGAATTAATTTACTTAACTGCTTAAGCCTGATAAATATATATACATTCTATTTTTGTTATTTTTATTCTACAATTGTTCAAAAATACTAAGAATAATGAGGACCGGCACATTCTTTGAATGTAAAAGATGGTGTATGAGTTTGAGGGGTTTTACTTTCTTGATGAAACAACTGTAATGAATTTTCAAATTACGTTAATTTTTCTTTATTAAATAAATAATTATAATAAGTGTTAAAAAACTAGATTTTTTAAATAATAGAAATAATAATAATTTTAAAAGTGTTGTTTTCAATTTTACAAAAATAAACTTTATTTTATATTTCCAAGTTTATTTTTATGTAATTTTTAGTTTCAGTTTTATGTAAATTTAGTATCAATTTGCATGCAATCCATTAAGAAAGAATAGATAATTTATGTTTTATGTACTATCCAAATTAAATGTTTCTTATTTATTATTGTTGGAGTACAAATAATTTAAAAAAAAAAGCTAATTGTTTTGGTAGTGGGTTTAGTTTACAAACTCCTCTCGTTTTACAGTTAACTGTTTTCTTATAGGGTTAATTAGTAATTCAGGTTTTGTGAAATCTAGAGTTACGGGAAAAGCTTGCATGGGATCTTAATTATGCTCCGGATCAATTGTTCACTCATTCCTTTTGGTGTTGGTTGATTGGGTTGTTGAAGACAAATTCTTACATGTTTTCGCACTTGAATTCCAGTGAAGCGGGTTCTTAAAGGAGAAAATCTTGACTTACTAGAAGTAGTATAGAGCTGAGAATAATAAATGATGTTCTAAAAGGGTTTTTCATCCATCTCAAATCCACCTGACAGTGCTACTTGTTTTATATAGTATATATTTTTAATGTTACCTAAGAACTGCTGCTTGAGCGATTGTTTATATTTTAAATAATAAGTTATATTTTCTATTTGTGTTGATAATTCATATTGACTATAAACAGAATACTTTTAATTTAGAGGTAACTGGGACCAAATTCTTTTATTTAAATTTAAAAAAAAATTGTCACATTTTTGTCAAATATTTGTGTTTTATTGTTGGAAAAACTCTACACTATAAAATAAATCACCATTATTTGATTATTGTACATAACTTCAAATATATATGTAAAATACATTAATTAGTTATTAGCCAGTTTTAAGTTTGCGTTAATAAAAAAATTGTCTAAATAGTTTTATCTCTATTTTCCAATCTTCTTTAGTCGTCTGTATTTCATGATTTAATTTTTTTGCATGTTAGTCCATACACTATCGTGACTGTAGTTTATTAAACAATATTTTTTGACCTTCAAATTCTTGCTATAAAATATCTAGAATTGACTTCATAAAATTCATCTAATTTAAATTCAAGCATCAGTTTTTCATTTCATAAAGGAAATTTGTCTAAAATGTCTTTCATGTGGGAAAGCGCTTTAATATAAGGACTTAGCATAGAAAAGATTATACAGTGAAACTTCCCTATAACGGACATTCTTGGGTAATGAAATATTACCTGCTTTTGGAAAAAGTGAAAAAAAAATTATAATGACAATTAATTAAGGTTTTTAGTTGAGATGAAAAAAGTTCATGGCACGAGAGGGATTCGAACCCACGACCTTCGGCTAGATACACCGCTGATCTACCACCTGAGCTAGCGTGACCTATGATGTCCGAGTGGATCGAGGTCACGATAGCTCAGGTGGTAGAGCAGCGGCGTATCTAGCCGAAGGTCGTGGGTTCGAATCCCTCTCGTGCCATGAACTTTTTTTCATCTCAACTAAAAACCTTAATTAATTGTCATGTCTTAATTGGTCAAGGACCATGAAAGTAGTGAATTAAAAATTATAATGTTACAAGATGGGCTGCAAAATAGGATTACAAGATATCTCAGGAATAGATACATGTACAAGATTTTTAGACTATTTAAGAGCAAAGTTTTGCTCCTTTGAAACATTTTCTCTCCAAAAACACCCATTTTTTAACTGCATAAGTTTTTCCAAAAGTGCTCTAAAAAATAATGTCATCTCATTGCAATTAAAAGTGTTTTTGGGTTCAAAATCAACACAGTATTGTTTCAGTAAAGTTTCAGTTTTGTACATCGGTCTTTGTTTCACCAACGACTTTAAAAGAAATCTTGTGCCATGCTCTAAATTTGTCGAACCAACCTGAAGATGCTTTAAAATCCATTTGCTGTATGTGTTTTGTAACATCTAATGCCTTTTCTCAGACAAGCGGCCGGACAGTGGTATATTATAAGCCCAAACATCACAAAACCATTCAAATATGTCCTTGTCTATTGTCGAACCAGTTGTTTTAAGAAAAAAAAATAAAAATGTGGGATTGGCCATTTACGTGTTTGTAAAATTGATCCAAAAGTTTGTTTTTATTGTTTAGAATTTCATTGCCTGGGTTTTTCCAATAGAAAACTTCAAAGTCAAGTCTCGCACGGTTTTTTTTTACTTTCACTCACTTTAATTACATTAATTTTTTCTTTAAGTATCAAACAAACTGAAGAAGTACTTAAACTTTTCTAAAAACAGAAAATCAAGGAATATTGGGAAAATGTTGGAAAGCAAACAAAACACATACGGAAAATGGCATTTGTCAGAAAACGAACATTTTCTGTAGGCTACTGTTCGCTTTTGGGGGAGTTTTAGTCAGAATATAGTCGAAAAGGCTGCCTGCATCTGTTATTGGGAGTGTCAGCTTTATAGAAGATTTTAATGTAAAGAAACTAATGGGAAGATGCCGGTGAATCAGAATTTGTTTATTCAAGAAAGGTGTCTGTTAGGGAAGTTTCACTGTATTTTGACATTTAATTTAAGTGTGAGACATTTTTTACTGTCACAGCACTAATGGACTATGACTTTGCTTTTAAAAGCTTTAATTGAGTTTATTTTTTAGATATAACAAATATTCTAATATATATTACAAATATTTCTTCCATTATATGTACTTACATTTCTTCTCTATTTTCTTTTCTTTATTTTTTAGAACTTTACAAATTACCAATTATATACGTGTTATATACAGTAGTATTTAAAGGTTTTTCTCCCAAAACTTATGATCTGTCATCTGCATTTATATATTTGACACTAATTTCAAAACTGGTCCATTCACTTAATTTATGTCTTATTTCTTAGCTTACCTTTGAGCGGCGAATGAAATTTGACATTTTTTTATTAGTTCTTGCAAGATATTTACTTGCGTACAGTTTTTAATCTATATTTCTTATTTCGTATTGTTGTCATATTGTTATATGCATGAATTGTGTAAAAAATAAAAAAAGGTATTGACATATTTTGAAAAATTATTAAAAATTAATAAAATAAACATGGCTTTATTTATTTCCTGTTTTTATTAAATGCTGGATTAATTAATTACTTTTTCAATTGTCATTTTTACAGTATTAAAGGGGAAGAAACTGCAGTTACCAGCCTAAAATTTATGAATATTGCCAAATAATGAAATACAAAGGGAGAAATGTTTTATTTGAATGGCCATAGGTCTAAAATCCCGTGGTTTTTGTTGATCACTGCTTTGTTGTACAAAGGCTCTTAACCTTGTATTTGACTGAGCAAATTTTTAAACTTTACTGTTTTATTATCTTATTAATAAATTATCATGAAATATTGTAGTAGTGAAAAAAATAGTAATAGTTCAGTATTAAGGAAACGTTGCGATAAAAAATTATTACTCAACTGTAAATGATTTTTGTTTCAATTAAAAAAACAAAACAAACATTCATAGTAACATAATCATGTTGGTCAGATTTTATTTCTCTCTGTTTAAGTTCTTCTTTTTGTATGAAAACATATAAGCAAAGAGCTTACTGTATATAATTATGTATAAGTAGATCGCAGAAAAATTGAGATCACAGAAAATACACACTGAACAGCACTACAATTGTTTTCTTGTATTATACATTTTCAACCAATATTGAATTTTTACCAATCACTAATAATGTAGTGAAATTTAGTTTTCACAGAATGTAATTTATAGCAATGATTTATGAATAATCACACAGTTAATATTTTTTTTAATGCTGTATAAAATCTTGATTAATTTTAATAAGTATGTAAAACGAGTAATATATTTAAAATTTTTTTCTTCAATTTCATATTGTTTTTGGTTTAATAATTTTTTAAAAATATTTATAATTGTAAATAATAAGTGGTCTTCTTGAAAGCTACATGTATGTTTGGCTAGAATATATATTAAAATTTATTTTTTCTTAAAGAATATTGACTCTTGTTTTTTTTCTTTCCATTTGTGCTTAAAGCAGATTGTGTAAAGCAACCTGTATTTTGATAATTAAATAATTGTATTTATAAACATTTGTTTATTTATTTATTTATATTACCCATCTTATTTATGTATATTAAAAAATAGAATTACCAAAATTTGTCTACCATTTTATTTCTTTGTAAAAAAATATTATGTTTATAAAATATTTTTGTATTGATTACACAATTTAAAATTTAATGAAAGGGCTAACCAACTGACCAACTGCATGAAATATTTTAATTTTTCCAGCATATCTCTCAATAAAAAGGTGTTTTATGGTAGATTGTCATCTTTGGTGATATCTCCCAAGAATTACTATTTACAAAAAAAAATTTCTTCCATATGCATTAAACATAAAAAAAATGCAAAAATAATTAGGTCTTTTATGGTATATGTGATGACTACAGTAACCAAGATAATTTGTATTTATTAGCATGAGTGTTTGAGTGAATGGGTAGTTTTGTGGTAGAAACGGATGCACCCCCATCGGCCCACCAAACTTGGTTAATTATTTTATCATCCTGAATGAATGTATTTATTAGCATGATAGTGCTTCTTTGCATTGCCAGCTAAGCATCTGCCACACCATGGATAGGTTGAGTGAGTGAATGAGTAATTGCGATTAGAATGAAACGGGGGCAGTGGCATAATAAGTATCCCAGTGACTCCTCACATTTCATCTATACGTGTTGTATAAATGTATTTATTAGATAAAATGTTTATGTATGTGTGAAATCCCAATGCCTCCCAAAATTTTAATTGTACATATAGCGTGAAAGTTTCTAGTAAGTTGGAATGTATTTATTAGAGCGAATCCACAACAGAATATCCTGTACCCTGAGACCCACCAAACTTGGATGTATGTAGGTGTACATGAGTTGCAGAGCCTTTTCACCATGTGTGCAAGGGCTAGTTACGAACGATAATAGAGTTCCAAAAGTTCCATCAGAAATGTAAGATCGCCAGGACCACCTACTGGAAAGCCAAATTTTGTTAATTAAAAAAAAATAATAAAAATATGTGTTTCTTAGTGACTTGTTGTTTCATGATTTGTTGAAGTCGTGAAGAGCGGTTAAGAATGAGGTAAGTTCAAAAAACATCTTTTTCATTTTTTTGTTGACATTTATTCAGGTCGTCTTCAGGGCATAAAGTGTGGTGCTATTCTTGTGGTGTCATATTGGTGTTGTGTGAAAGTGTTTTATTGAATACAACCAGTAGAGACCTCAAGAACAGAGAAAAATATCCTAAAACTAAATGTGTGATGGATAAATAAAACTGGCAATGACTAGTACAAGTACCAAACAGTCATAGGGCTTCAGTGTGTGTTGTTTATACTTTCCAAACAAGCTAAAAAAAATATTAATTTATTGTTTAATTTATTCATTTTAATTTTACACATTCTTTCTCTTAACTCAATTTTAAATACATGTGGCACACATAAATTCATTGGTTCTTAAAAAAAGTAGTTTATAGAAGGAACTAAATTATAACCAAACAATGTTGTTTTGAGAATTCACAGCCGAAAATTAATGTTTGTACATACTTATATAATATACATATATATAAAAAAATAAATATTAAAACTATTTTTCTATTAAATCTTTTATTAATTCAGTATCGTCCGTCAATTTTGAAATCTTGCAAACTTCCATTGGGCGATGAACTGTTACTACTTCCATCTTGGGATATTGTGTAAACAGTGCACAACGAGGATGATGATGGCATACTCCGTTTTAATAATGGAGATTCTAGAAGTGAATTTTGGTGCATAAGAGTCGGTTTCGGCTTGTAAGGTAGAATCTCTGGTTTGCCGTATTCTGAAATATTTTTTTAAAATTCCATACAGATTCAATTTTAAGCCATAAACTTCTAATATGTCAGTTCTTTCTTTTACCTTTCTTTAGAGCAAACATGAGCAAGAAGTATGACAGTCCGATAAACGCGCCAACGAATGTAGCATACCCAGTATATGGGTCCCATGAGCCGTCGCTGTTGTATCGGTGCAACCAGTGGAGAATATAAAGCGAATTGTAAATCGTAAGGAAGAGCATGTAGATTGATACGACATTGTAATATCCTTCACTTCGATAAGTGAAGTAAACTTGAGGCAACAAAACCAAAGCTTCTAAGTAACCACTAAATGATTCCATAATCTTTAAAAATTAAAAGAATTGTTTAAACATTAAAAAAAATTCTATAGAAAAAATAGTACTTACAGATTCAGGTGATGATATATCGTTGCTTTCTAAAAGTGATATACACAGTGCGAATATTATGATTGCTTCGATCCAAAATTTGTCAAACTCATTTTCATATGTCTTTGCATACATTCTGTACATGAGGTATAAAATAATGTATGAAACAACAGTGAGAATGATGGTCTTTAGCACGTAGTACAGCGTAACGCTTGGAGATGCAAATATTAAGCATGTCGTTTTTGTTGTAAAGACAAGTGAATAAATAATTTGCATTTTTCCAGAAAAACCTAAAATAAGATTGTATTTTAATTATATATAGAAAGATATTTATGTTAAGTTTCATTGCATTAATAAGAACATTAAAAATAAAATGTGATATTATTGCTATGAACAATCATTTAACTAAAAAAATTTCAAAAAAATTAGAGGAAGATATAGGCTGATGATTATGTTCAAGTTATTAATTGATTGATAAAAACTTTTTAACTGGTTGTTTTAATTTCACAAGGGGCAAACTTTTATTTTAATGATTCTACACTTCAAAATATCGGATACTATTCGCCACTACTTGTGGTTTTACTAAATTTTTTTTTTAAGTTGAAATTTTCTGTTTTTTAATATTTTTATTTCGCCGTTCTACTTGCTCAAATCAATGATGTGAATATTCATTTTATAGCATTTTTTATGTAGATTGCAATAAAAATGTAGTAAAAGTTATAAAAGTTTACCTATAACCAAAAAATGTCTAAAAGCTAAATAGTTTTAGGTGCAATTTTCTACACGCAGTGTGCTTTGGATGAAAAAGTAAGGAACATTAATGTTTGGACATAAAAATTTTTTTCCCTGTTTGATCTTGCCCACAAGCCATGAGCGATTCACAACATAGGAATGAAGTTATAGTAGACATCATTAAAGACAATTAATCTAGTCAGTAATGATAACCTGTGCTGCTCAAGTCTTCGATTCCTTAATTGTAATAATTATGATTTAATAATCTGGAAATTTTCTATTTATTTTTCCCATGAAATTGTAATCATTTTCAACTTTTCTATGATTGATTATTTAGGACTACAAGGGGAGAAACAGGTTGGTGGGTCACGGATTTGTACCAAGTTTTTTTTGGTAATTTTACACTCCAAAATATTGGACAGGTATCCGCCTCTTCTTGCAAATAGACCCTGGTTTCACAAAAACATTTTTAAGTTGTAATTTTCCATAATTTAACATTTTTATTTTGCTTTTCTACTTGCCCGATTTATGCTAATGCCTGTTTCTAATCAACGCCTTGTTATCGGAAAAGTGGTCTTTGTTGACAAGTGAGAATAAGTAATTCCATAAATACCTCCAGTTTTCCACTAATAATTTATTCATTATAAATAGACTTAAGGGAATTCTTAATGAATTGACTTAATCGGGATAATGAAGCTATTTTCAAAATCAAATTTCAGTTGAAGTTAAATGAGCCTAAATTATTATTTAGATATTAAAAAATATTATTTTTGGTGTATTAATTTCATTGTTGGTTAACATAAAAACAAAAATGTTCTATGACGTAGAATATTCTAATTTAGTATGACTTAAAAACATAAATTAATAAATTACAGTTTTTTCCGCATATTTTAACAACCATTCTGTATGCAAAATACGTCTGAAAATGGCTAAAACTTGGATTTGACGTCACTGTCATGATTCTAGCCTTATAAAACCCTAAAATACAAACTTTTGTAGAAATCAGTGTAAATTAATTTGTTAACAGATAATTTCGATGATCTCTTGCTGACTGACATTATTAGTGCAAGCTCTAACATCATATTTATCAAAAGCTAGTGGACCAATTTTTATAGTTGTTAATTCGTTTTAAAAAAATTGTAAATTAACTGTATCAAACAATAAAATTGGACTATTATTTCCATTANAATATATGTATATTTATATGGTACATATGCTGCTAAAACGCTACATTCCTTTTCTTTACACTTTCCTTGTCTGTTTGTCATTAAAATCCTTTTAGTCATTTTTGAATTATAACCATTTCAATCAGAACTGCTTCTTCGCCAATAACGACTTGTCAAAAATTAGGAAAAAATTAGGGGGCAAAAAATTTATAACTTTAAATTCAAACAAAAAATATATTTAGGGCTCTCTAGAGATGCTAAAATAAAATTTCATATCATTTTCATTAAAAAAATTATGGCATAATTTACTTGAAAACTATAACCAACTAATCCAATAGCTCACATTCCACTGAATCCCCTCAAACCACGGTTGTGTGAACGCTCTCAACTCGACACATAACCATGACACATCTTCACAGAAAACACACACTTTGAGTCCTGAAGATGATCTAAATAAAGATCGAAACATTGGCACAATAAAGACAATCTTTTTCTAAACCTACATCACACAAGATCACATCTCACTATCTCCAAATAATCATTAATTAATGGTCACTAAATACGTCACAAAAATATTTATATTTCATGGAAAAAAAATTTCAAAATTTTTTTCACATTCAATGTTATGCAATAAAAAATTGAGTTTTTTTTTATCACCCTGCTTTAAGAGATAACACACTTGTAAACAGGATTCGTCAATTTTCACTTTATTAAAATTATCATCATATTTGATGGAAATGTTTTTTGTTGAAACATTGACTAATATATCTTGACAATATCGATGATTACATTACGAAGATATAGTTTTAAATTGTTAATATTTTTCCTAATATTTTTTGGTAGGATGTTCTCTTTTTTGTGATGTACTATATATATTTGTGATACATAAAAAATATAAATATTTAGAATTTGACAGGAACCAAAATAAAAGAGAAGTTCATTGAATTAATTGCTGGTCATACATAGATAAGTAAATTGGTGAATATTATATACGCACGACATGGCAAACAGGAATAATAAATGAATAAATTATCATGTAAAAGGGAACAAAAGGGAGATGAAACTATTAAATTATTTTAAATAATTAAATGCCTATCACCGAGGTTGTACTGATACAACAATATTGTCCAAGGTTTAAGCTTGCACATGAATTATTTTTTAAAATAACAATTAGAAAAGCTATACATCTGATAGACTGATCTTTGCTTTTGGTTTTCTTCTAGAAATGTTTTGTCTTTACATTCTTTGATGAATGTCTGTTTAGTGTGTACATCACCATGCAACAGTAAGCGAGTTGTTTGCTAATTATGACTCAAATAAAATTCCACTTGCTTTAGTAAATAAAAATAAATGAACTTCAAGTTATACAAAAGCATTATTTCATAGTCTTTAAAGGGACAGAAAATTTTCAAAGGGGTGGGCAATGGTCAGGTGATTAGTATATTTGAAAAATTTCATATTCATTTATAAATTTTATAGAGATAGGTAAAAAAAAAAGAAGGAAAGCAAATTGTAGACTTACCTGAGCATGACTTTGTTTTGATAAATCTGATCAAGAGAATTGACGTTGCTGTGAAGTAGCACAGATCACCGATGATTGCCCCATAGGATATGATTTCCATTTCGAGCCGTGTGCTTGTGGAGTCAGTTTTTAATTTATTTTTATTGCTATTTTGCTGTTTTCAAAAATTGAATCGACCAGCGTCACATAAAGAGCAGTCGAGCCATAGCTGATGCGCTGGTCGGGCAGCGTCAAGAATTCCGCCTGCTTCGTTCGCACGAAGACAAATCTGTTCTGGACGTTGTATCAAAGCTAACTGACAGCGATTTTATTTCAAGGGGAAAACTCCAATCCTTTAAAACATTTTATCTCCATTTGAGTGGGTGTTGAGACCTTTTTTATAAAGTATAAATATCAACATATCTCGAGATAAGATGCATGAATAAATAACACATTTAATTGTCACAGAGAATTGATTAAAGCTTTCTCTTTCTTTAATTTACCCTTGGCCTTGGTTTTTGACAGTGAATGACATAATTGGATTATATTTTTTTTTGCGTTTTATGTAAATGTTGCTCGTTAATTTTTATGTTTATCTTGGTTTGTCTATCCTCACTAATTATTGCTGGTTCAGAAGTGTTTTAACTTATCGCCATCTTAATTTTTATACTATACTTATTGATAAATTTTGTAGTGATCTACTTCTTTCTGAAAAAAATTAACCCATTGATCCTCCCTAACCAAATATTGATCTCTAAGTTTAGTTTCTGCCAGTATTAATTCTGTTTTGTTTCAACCCTGAAGATCTTTACATATCATAAAAAAATATTTATTATTAAATAAGAAAAGTACCTATTTATAATTATGCAACATAATTTGAATTGGAGTGGAATTGCTAAGTTGTGTCTTCTTGGTGGCAATTTTTCCACATCACTGTATAATTTTTTATAAATAATTTTTCTTATTAAAAAAAACAAAAAAAAAACTTAAATTGCAGGTCTATTATGATATTCACATATTGCTTTTTCAAATCTTTTTTTCATCACAGTTTAACTAATAAAGAACAAGAAAAATGGGATGGATGCAGTTGTAGATATACAAATGTACTGTATTAAATCAGTGTTGAATTTGGAATAATTGAGATTTAACGTAATTGACATAATTGAAGTATTCTATAACTTCACATCTTCTTCAGTGCAATGATGGCATGTGGACTAGTTCCAAGCAGGGAAAATGTTGTAGGACACGTTTACACATACACATTGCTTTTGTTAATGTTCGTCCTTCATTCTGACATCACAACACATAGCAATTTGAAAAATTATCCAAAAATCTAGAAGCCAACATCTTCATACTATGACTTTTAACCACTTAGTCAACTCTCTCACAATTCATGCCTAACAACCTTATTCATAAGTTTAATGCAGTTCTTCGAACAAACTCTCCTACCCAATGAAACGTTTCTACAAAAACTGAGAAAACTACACATTCGTTCTATTGTACAACCAGCTTGCTTTCAACATTAGTCTATTTTTTTTTTCAAAGTCCTCATCTACACATCTGTCTAGTAGATTTCATCCCTTGAGCAGTATTGCGACATTTATTCTTGACGTCTGTGGTATGTTGAACCTGTAATCATTTGGTCCGCCTAACTTCGCTGTTTTGGTCTGGCAGACTTATTTCAATTTTTAGCCATCTCCAGGAGTGGGTTTGTTGTTCAAAATAACGATTTTAAACTGAACATAAACATTTTGCCTTACATTTCCTTGTTTTGATCAATTCCGATCGTCATGATAGATTCCTCAAAGACTGTATAAAAAAGCTGTTTAAACTCCATACAGCACCACGTCAAATTTCCTCTTTAGGGAAATACACCGTAATTTTATTATATAATTATACAGTCGAACTCCATCACGATTACATAGTAACGGCACTGAATGTGCCCGAATATAGATACCCAAAAATGGTGGCTATGGAAGTCATAGTTAAGAAATTATTGTGGTTCAAGGATATCCTTGCGATGAGCCACAGTGAACATTACAGTATCCACGCGTTTAAATTAATATAAAAGCATGGGAGAGCTTCTTTAGCGACACTCAAAAGTTAAATGAAGTTCAATAGCGTCGAAGAATTCTAGAGGAAGTGAGGTCAAGTGAAAAATACCCATTGTATCGGGAATTAAATGTTGAGTTAAACGTAGGTGCTATTTGGACGTAAAGCTACCACTGTCATACTTGCAATGGATATTAGCAATAAAGTCAACCTGAAATTTAAGCAACAACCATACGAGGAAGTAGAGGTGGGGTGCCCATTATGCAACAACCCCTTCGTGGTAGAAGATTTATTTCACTTTCACGTGGTCTGTCCAAAATTGTCCAACTTAAGATAGTCCATATCCACGAAAGTAATCCTCTCATAACAGTTTGCACAACCAGTGGTAATGCATGTCTTTCTTTACCTTTGTAAATAGTTTAAAAAGACAATATTATGTAAACAAAAAGTAAATAATAAATAATTATTCAGAAATCGTGAGATGCGGTCTGGTATGACGTAGGTTTCAGAAAAACATTTTCTTTATCGTGCGAATGTTTCGATCTTTATTGAGATCATCTTCAACATTTATCTATCTCTATTAGTAAAAGAAGAATGGGATAACCACTGGGCTCGTAAAAACAGAAATAACCCCGCCACGGAGAACGGGACGAAAAGGGAAAAAGGCCATGCTGAAAAGACTGCTCATAGGTCATACAAGAATAATGCATGAGCACCTTCTGGCCGGAAGCGAACGCTTAGGTGCGTTCCGGTACTTCAAGGCTTAAAAATTTTAGGATTAAGGCTATTAAAATGTACACAGAGTGATTATTTATATGCTACCCCTTTTATTTATTTTGTTTGGAAATAATTAAAAAAATAGGACTGGACTCTACATTATTTTAGTAAAATCTGAATCTGAAGTCAAAAATGTTTTTCAACGTATGGCACGTCCCCAGGCCTCAGCAATATTTTTCGAGTGGTATTTTGAATACGGAATTAAATTCTACGACTTTTTTAAAGAAGATTTTACTTCGGGCACTTTCCTTGTAGAGTTTGTTGTTTAAGAGTTAGTAAGGTTTGAAAAAAAGTTCCAATTTTATTTATCTCAAACGTCATTCATTTACCTCCTAGTAACTATCAGTTAATTACCAATTACTAATTCAATTACCTCCTAGTAACTTTATTACGTTAATTCTAGAAAATCAAATTTTCAAAATGGGCACTACCGATCTCCATACAAAGCAAAATTCTATTATGGAATTCATTTCGCACTTTACGGAAAGTATCTGGTGCTATGCTAATTAGAATTATCCTAATTGTGAGTAAACATTGAATAATTTCTCTGAGTTGATTTTAAGGAATTAAGAGATAATTTTTTTTGGATCAGTTAATTTCCAGCTAATGTAAAAGAGAACTGCTAATTTGATCGTTAATTGTGTTTACGTTGAAAAAAAATATGCCGGGGTGGTCTAGATTTTTGGAAGATAAGGTAGAATTAATTTATTTTTATGGAGCCACCCATAATTTTTACGAAGCTGAGCGGAGATTCAACACCAATCATCCGGATCGTCTCGTTGTTAGGTGTTTATCAGGCAACCAATAAACAAATTTGAACAAACCGGAACAGACATTGATAAAAAGAGAACAGGTACGTTTTAATTTAAAATTTTTTTTTTAAAACACGGTAGATATTAATTATTGCCGTCTTTTCTTTTTAAATGGAGTAATAGACTTTCAGAAGAGGTGGAAGAGGACGTTCTTCTCGACTCTGTCGAAACTACTACACATCCTGCCTGCAAGTCGCCAGTAGGCATGATATATCGAAGAGTTCGGTCCAAAATTATCTCAAGAAAAACAAATTACATTCATCCAAAATTCAACTGCATCAAGAACTTAGTCCGGCCCGGAGGACCAAAATGTGTTGTAATAAGGGGCTATCCGTAATTGGCAGCAACGCTCCTTACCTTTGCTTTGTTCGCCGGAGCCTGCACCCCCACGTTGACTCCATGACAGAAGTATGAAGCGATATAGGAGAAAGATAAATTAAATTAAATTAAACTAAATGAAGATGACCTAGATAGACGCCTTCAAATTGGTGAAATTTTGGACAACAGAATTACAGTTGAACGGAAAATTTGTTTTAGTGACGAAGCAACTTTTTTTTAAAATGATGGATTGAATTTTAATCCTCATCAATGAGGGAATCGCACACCTAATACCCTGAGAAACTAAACTTTTGGGCAGGGATCTTAGGGAGCCATATCATAGGACCTGGCATGGCAATAGGATGGCAATTTAAGATGAGAAAATTACGTTGAGCTCCTAGAAGAAATTGTTTACCCGTTGACTGACTCTACGGTTGAAGGAAATGAAGAAGAATTTGAGGAAGGAGAAATTATTTTCCAGCAAGATGGAGCGCCTCTTCACTACCCAAGAAACGTGAGTTACCTTTTTGATGTCCGTTTCCCTTCAAAATGGATAGAAAGAGTAGGTTTCATCAAGTGGCCAGCAAGATCTCCAGATCTAACACCCTTAGATTTTTTTAGTGGGGACACATTAAAACAGTGGTGTACGGATCACCAACCAACAATCTGGAAGATTTAAAGGAAAGGATCAAAGAATGCTTAACATCAGATACTTTCCGAGAAGTGCGAAATTAATTTATTACATGAATTTAGGATTTTGCTTTGTATGGAAATCGGTGGTGCAAAAATGGGATAATTTAATTTACTAGGATTAACTTAATAAAGTCACTAGGAGGTAATTAAATTAGTACTTAGTAATTTAAAGTTTCTAGGAGGTGAATAAATGACATTTGAGGTAAATAAAATTTGAAGTTTTTCTTTTATTCAATCCTTAATAACTCTTAAACAACAAACTCTACAAGTAAAGTGCCCGAAGTAAAATGTTCTTTAAAAAAGTCATAGAATTTAATTCTCTATTGAAAAGTATACCTTCCCATTTGAAAAAAAGTTGCTGAATCTTGGGTTCATACCGTACCGAACGTGAAAAAAAATGAACTCAAAATCCAACGAAAAAAATAAGGAAAAAACAAGCCCAATTTTTTATAATTATTTGCAAACAGCATAAATAAAATGAGGGGTAGTTTATAACTCATCACCCGGTATAGAGTTTGTATTGTTTATCGATTAGAATGAATGTACTTATTAGCGTGAAAGGAAGGTGTTGTTTAACCCTAGCCCGAGGAATATCGAGTACTTTAGGGCGAGCGAAGTGACTCCGACTTCTATGTTTGTATAAGGTGGTGATGTGTAAATATGTATTGTATGTTTTGTGACTATTCTGTATTGACCACCTGAGGTACAGATGAGAG